TGAACAGGTGTCGTAAGGCTTCGCGCGGTACCTCGCCTACGTGTTGACGTGTGACCACGATCAACGTCCGCTTTAACGTACCTTGGAAGACGGATGACACTGTGGGTGGTGTGGTCGCGGAGTAGTCGACTCGGGTGGCGCTCTCGGTGCTCTGTACGATCGGACTCATGGTGTTCTTTGATGTTTGCCGAAAACCCATACGCTAGTATAAAGTAACTGTAAATGTATTTGGAGGTGTCCGATTATCCGGCTACGTCGTGGCTCCACATTCATATGCAAGGTCTACTAAATGGTCCTGCATTCGTCATGTTACTTGTCGGTGGTTGATTGACCTGCACTGCTGAGGCTTGCTCATCGCAGTTGTTGCCACGGCGCGTAGACCAACCCGGGAGAGATGCTTTCTTGGTGCTTACTCCCGGTAGAATGGTCCCAGTACCTGCTACTGGGTGACTGCTGTTGAGGATATCCCCTGTGTGAGGCGTTCTTCGAGCTGGGTCCATCGAGCCAACGCGAGCCGCATTGTCGAAGGCATGGCGTGGAGCGAGTACATCATTCATGTACACGCACAACAGGAAAACAAAGGCCCACAATGGCTGCTGCGTCACTGCAAGGGCAATGGCGCTCAGCCAGGACGAGGTCGTGGAGGTTGGGGATGATGGCGCAGTATCATTTGAAGGTCCAGCAGTGAGGTAGCAAGCAGCCTTGCAGGAATGCCCACGGTTCAAAATGACACTTCTTGATGGTTGGCGAATTCAACAATATGCGACCCTTGGACGACGATGGATCTTGACTTTTGATTGGCCAAGGGGACCGTCCGTTTCAATTTAAGCCAATCTAATGTCCTTTTTGTCAAATGACGATTGCAGGGATGAGTTAATCTCACTTAACTCGTTGCTTTTTTTGCTAAAACGTGTAGAGCATATTAGCCAATCCAACGGCTCGGCGCAGTCATAGGAAATCGGAATACTCCGGAGTAATAAAGCGACTTCTGGAAGTAGAATAAGAACTATTTTTAGTGTGTCAAAGTGGTTTGACAAGCATTTCAAACCATGTCAACGTGTTTGCGCCAAACAAAACCCCCTGGCGCTGTACCTTTGATTTCATTGGCCATCGAAACTTGCACGAAGGACACCGACCATACTATTAATCTACGTCCGTCGATGGCCGCAACGTAGCGCGCGGCTAGCACCGTCAGACGGAAGTCCTTGCTCTTCTGAACGTCAAGCCAAGCGAGGTATGTCCCTACCTTTTGACTCTTCATGCGCCCAACTGACGTGGGATGCAGTATGCAGCAAATGCGGACACCACTTGGTCGCGACGTCGGACTAGTTCTTCCTCCACTGGTTCGTCCATCTTCAAGTTGCTGCATCCATAACTATATGTCTCGAATCCATTCCGCCCACAGAAACTAAGATGAACTATACCAAGTGCAGCCCTGGCATCGCCACACGAGCTACCGTTTGCGCGTACGTAGATTGGATCCAGCAATCGAACGATTGACGATAGATTCCGTTATGTAGCCAAGGAGCTACGCTGTCGTTGACGCTTCCGCTGGGATTCTGCCTCATCGCGTCCATCTTGGGAGTACCCTCGGACGCGTTTCACTTTTTGTCGTACGTTCTACAGCCACGTATCCACTGTTCTACATCAACTCATTCCTTGACGGCCACTTTAACCAAGTTTGAAGTGAAATCTCGCCTCAATCCTACCTAGAACTTGACCACCAACCAACCACTCAACCATGCGTCAATGAGCGTGAGCTTCAGGGACAACGTTTGACCTTCTACCTATCATTGTCAATAGGGAGATTGAAGTGCAAAACAACGCTAATATTATGTTGGTTGCAACAACGCCCATCGCCATATCGATGCAGCTCCTTTGCCAACTTTGCGACTAATTTCTGAATCGATCATGACGCAGGATGAGAAATTGACTGAAGGTACTATATTGGGCAAGATAGCACGTCCGTCCACAAGATTTGAGTAGAACCACTCGTATATACTAACTAGTATTCATAAAACACGATTTAAAATGGACACGAAAAATCATGCAATTGCCGTTTTCCCAAGAAAAATTGCCAAAATTCCATTTTTCGAGATTTTGTGCGTCTGGATGTCACCAATGTGCAAACTATTATGCCACCATTTTCTTGAGAATCGAGTGTGGACCGATCACGTTGAAGTTTTGCACTTCGGTCAATCGGAAATCGAATAATTTTTCCAATATTCAGTTGACATCCAGACAACTTTGAGATACAGTACATGGGATATGAGACTTTGGGAAATTTTTGTAGACTTGCCAAAACGGTTTATGGCATAATTTTATGAGGTGGCTGGCATCCAGACCAGCGGTAAAATAAAATATCCGGAAATAGTTTTCTTTTTGGCATTGTTCTATTATTGTTATTACATGTGCAACCTTTCTCATGCTGTACCACTTTTAATTAGCTTATTTTGACATGGATTTCAGCCATGGTGAATTCTACTGGCTCTCCTGGTTGTTCGAATGGTACCTCAAACTCCAAACATTTCGAAAAACAAGAGTTCGATTCTCAAAAAACGCCGCTTGAAGTGGTTAAACTGGGATGGAGGTTCTAGTAGTAATTAGGGAAGTTCCAAGTAGTTTTCAGAAATAGCATGAGCCAATCAAAATCGATTTTTTTCACGATTGAGAAAAAGACGTCAAATACCCTCTTTCTCTACTTTTGGTATAGTGATTTGCGTAAAAACTCGCAGAAAAAGAGGTAAAAAAGTAGGAAACTGTATTGTCGATTTGATACAAATTTGGGGAGGGGGTGCAATCAAATCGCGCCGACCACCAAACCGATCCACAATCGATCTGATTGGTTGAATTTCATTGAGAAGGTTTTGATTGGCTAATAATTTTGAGCTCACCTGAAGTAGCCAATCAAATCGATTTAAATTCCAACGAGAAACCACGCCACAACAAAATGAAATTTCACTCGAAAGCACAATACTTGGAACCAATTTTTCATTTTGCTAAAAATATCTACTTGGAACTGGCCCTAACAAATATATATATGTGATTCTATAACAAGGTCAGATTGTAGACTGTAATCACTCGCATTGAAGTGCAATACAAGGCGATACGACTAAACGTTATGTGTGTATGGTAGGCATTCTAAATGGTCCTGCATTCGTCATGTTAGGCGTCGGTGGTTGATCTACACTGTTGAAGCTTGGTCATCGCAGTCGCCACGGCGTCTTCCACCTAGTAGGCAGGTGATGCTATGTTAGTGCTTACTCCCTGTAGAATGAATGGCACCAGTACCTGCTGCTGGGTGACTGCTGTTGAGGATATCCACTGTGTGAGGCGTTCATCGAGCTGGGTCGATCGAGCCAACGAGAGCCGCATTGTCGAATGCATGGCGTGGAGCGAGTACATCATGTACACGCACAACAGGATAGTAAAGGCCCACAATGGCTGCAGCCTCACGGCTCGGGCAATGGCGATCAGCCAGGACGAGGTCGTGGAGGTTGGGGATGATGGCGCAGGATCATTTGAAGGTTCAGCAGTTGGTGCGCGTGGCGGTGGAGTGTGAAGCGATCTGTCTGCGGGTGTGGAGAGGAGCTTGGGAGGTGTCGACGCAGCCGTCGTCGTCGGGCTCTTTTGACGCAATTCCGCGACGGCGGCGGCGGCCCTGCCATCGATGGTCAAGTTAAGTTTAATCGAGTTGCGAAAACTAAAGTAAATGAATCCTTATTTATATATCTTGGGCGTACCACGTTTCAAACGCTTCTTTGGACTCGGAGATTGTCGACGAAATGATTTGGTTGTTGAACCACGTGGATTTGATAAAGTGCACAACAATGCCCACCTAAAAAAATATTCAACCATTCAAAAAATCAACAAATATATATTCTCCAGTCAATTTTCGACATTCTAGAATATCGAACGCGCAGCGCCAAATCCAGAGATAATCGCTCGACCAATCAAAAACCCCAAAACACGAATCAAGTGACCAATCACATCATTCTCGCTTCATCCACCATATATTCAGTGTGACCCTGGTCAATCATTACATACAAATGCCAGCCAGCAGTATAAACAATCGATCGATGGATATGTGGCGAATCAGCACCCAACGCCAAATGTGAACTGCTGAATGTCACCAACAAACCTCGGCGTGGCAAAACTTGTTGCCGTCCAGCGTAAAAACCCATCTCGTTTCGATCTCAAAGTAATCCGCGTACGGAATCTTCTTCATGCGCAGTGTCTCAGCCAGCACGAACCGCGTCCACGTGCCGCCGATCGTGTTTTCATCATGCCGACAAAGCTGGTACCGCGTGCATTCGGCGTACGGCGGCAGGCCCGGGAACGTTACTTTGGGCGGATGTTTCGACTCGACCTTTCGGAAATGTGACATCGGGTCCTTGGACACACATAACGATGACATGGCGTTGACAGGACACTGTGCGATGGGTTGCCAGTCTACGCATGTCGTCCTCCCCCAGTGAAATTTCGATGATTTATATATATATATATATTTAAAATGTATTTTTGGAACCGACCTCCGATGGAAATATCAATGTCTTTGGTGGATACCATCACGCGGTGGTAAAATTCTTGGGTGTGAAACAACGTCTCGTACAAGTGCTGCACGTCACTTTGCAGTTCCGTGTCCAAAATCTTGGTCATTTTGCCTATCAAGTAAAGCCATATATCACTTTTCGCCCTCATATATATTTATAACAAAATCATATATATATACCGTTTTACCGATCAAATAAATATATTATATCACTTCACGCCCTCATATGCATTTACATATATATATAGATCACATTACGAAATCATAATATATACTAGTATATATATACATGTCGTTGCAACCATATACACGACAACGTGGGTCACAGACGTACTCAATGTTTCGTCTGGGGGTAGCGGCACAAAATCTTCGTCTTCGCGGACGATGCTAGTAGGACCAAGTGTGATATATTCCCAAGTGTATAATTATTATATGGGGTAAAATAAATATATCTCGTTGTACCTGATTTTGCGTTGATTCGAATTCAAATACGACTGGCGTCGCTGGGATGCCATCTCCTTAAGCAATTCCGGCGTGTGGTCGCTTTCTATATGGATCATCACGACAATACAAAGCACTGGTTAGACATAAACTCCCGTGATACATTGTGTGTGTATGTCGTAAAGATTGCGCTGAGAAAGATAAGACTAGGGAACGTACCTTTATACTGTTGTCGGTGGGCACTGAGCAGTTGGTCCAATCGTCCATAGGACATGTCCCTATGATTAAAATGTCAGCACGACACCATCTGGATTTCATTTCGTGGCCAAAAAAGCCTGGAGCACACGATGCTGGTGTATTTCGGAAGTATATTCGATTGTCCGTTCGATTTCGATATTGGAGTGCATAACAACCGATCGATCAATCAAAACCCAGAACATAACAACCAGAGTGCATAACAACTGATCGACCAATCAAAACCCAGAACGCTAATCAAGCGGCCAATCACATTCTATTTTCATCCATTCAACATCGAAGTCGTGTGTGACTACCGTATTTGTCGTACCTTTGCACCATGTAATTCGATGTGAACAATATATTTAATAAATATAATCCAATTGTATAATTGATTTGAGATTTTATATTTTGTTTATATCATAATTTATATTCACTTGTTATATTTCATGGTGCATATCAACGACAAATATACGACCGTATTATCCGTGATGATTTTAACATCCAAATGTTGTAAAACAATCCATCGATGGGATGGATTCGGTGACTCAGTACACAAAATTCCACCATTTGGCTAAAGGCACAATAATAAATCATACTAGTTAATAGTCGTACTGTACAGTACATACCGCTGGCCGTTGAATTCGGCAAAGAACCACGACTTATCTGTAGCTTTCAATTGCAGCGCATTGATAAAGTAAAACTCGGGCTTGACCACGGCCGTCACGTCTTCGTACGAAATGCAAATGGGCTCGAGCGTCGCCTTGTACGCCTATAGCGATGGGTTGTTGGCACCAGTTTAATGCCATAATACAAAGGACGGCGAGGATTTTACTTACGTAGAAGCACACGTGTTCGCGGGTGAGGTACATGTGGCCGTAATATGGCACGCACTCGGGAAAGTAGCAGCAGCTCACAACCACCACTGGAGCCTACAACATCAGTCACCCCCCTTGAACCACATTGAAGTTGTTACAATAGTATTATTGTGTTGCAGAAGAATCGAGCCAATCAGATTGCAGGAAATCATGATTTCAACCAATCAACAACCAAGTAGGGTGTGACTCCCTGGACATTGTTTTACATATAGAAAATATTCGTATAAAGATTCGATCGATGGATTTTTGGCAAATCAGCACAAAAGTCCAACTTTTGGCTGAAACGGGGACAATATTAGGTACCTGCGAGGCGGGGAATGCAAATTTGGCCAAAAACGAGGCTTCCGACATGGGACTAAGTCCGTTCCACGAACATTGCGTGGTGCCGGTTTGGCTTTGGAACTCGCGGATTTTGAGGAAGCAGCAGTCGCACACGCGAAACTCGCCTTTGGCCATCTATACATACAAAAATGCACGTTATGACGTGGCGCCATGACATGTCTTGGAGCGATTGTGTGATGTATATATGTATATATTGTCGAGATAAGTACCAAGGCGTCGTACGGAATAACGCTCGACTTGGTGGAGCATGCTTGGCAGTATGTGCCACCGCAGTTGCGGCAGTGATGGCGAGGTTTGCTGAGCAAAGTACCCACTTCGACTACACACACACACAAAATGAAACCAGCCTAGTCTCAGCTGCACGAGCGTTGTGGGGTACTGTACCTTTGCAGTTTTCACAAATTGTCAAGCTCGCAAAGGGCGGCGGTGCCAACGGAGGGTTGATGTATACACTGTGGGGAGGAGGCGCGCTACATGCATCAACGTTAGCGGACGACGGAGGTTCAGCCGAACGTACGCGCCGTTGGGGTCTCCGATGCACACAGGGCTGCTCGTCTTTCGTTCAGTTGTTGGCGACAGCGGCACCGTGGACGGCGAGAACTTGCCAAATGCCGCCATGATGGCATCGGGAAGGGTGTTCATGGGGCTAGTGGGCAACGTCTTCAACGTGCCCAAGGTCGTGGAAGTAGCAGATGATGCATCAGTAATGCTGTGATCGTCCAGCTTTAGCGGGGGTATGGGGTGCGCTATCGTCGGGGGAACCGCCGACTTTGGGCCAATGTTGGGCGAGGACATGGAGCGGGACATCTTTCTCGGAGGGATGCTGCCGCTTCCGTCGTGGTGGAAGGAGCCGACGTGGCTGTCGGCGTCCTCATCGCTCTCGTTCGGGTCAACGTACAGACCGTTCTTGAGCTGGTACCCGCTTAGGTCTTCCCTCCCCATAGCTCTTGCCTCGCCGTTGTCTCGAAAACTGCTGCTCATGGTGTGTCTTGTGTCCCCACTCTTCAATTTCTTGAAGTTGCATTTCGGCAGCAGTCTTTTTATTTGTCGTGGTTTTGACGCCAGGTGTATATAAATAGGACGTCGAAAGAACTTGGTTTTTGTATGCAACGCCAAACCCAATAAACAAATACGAGGCATACAAACCGTAAGTACTATTAATAACTACCTAAGTACTACCGTATACCTTATGGATCAGTACCCATGATTTTGCCTTTTCGAGTTGTACCCAAATTGCTGTATGGTGTCAATAAAGTACGATTTGGTGGTACCTTGGAAGGCTGTACCCAAGTAAGTCGCTTTATATTGGTCAAAACTGTCCAATTATCTCGTTCTAGCCAATTAAACAAGTAGAAGTAACCAATCCGAACGCATTGGAAAGAAATCAGACCACCTTATTGAGTTGTATCCATTTCGATCAGATTTAATTGACATTTTCGGGGGTACAGATCCATAAGGTATACGGTAGTACTACCGTATACCCCCCGCTTCAGTACCTATTAAAATGTCAGTAAAAATCTGATCACAACTGGAACAGCTCCAAGAAAACTATTCAGGCGTGCGCATTGGTCTAAATCACAGAACTTAAATTTCATTGGATAAAAATTATTAACGCATGGTGATTGGATAATTCTGTCCAATTAGAGACAATTAGGTACGGAACCATGAAAATGTTCGTCATTGGCCGATACTTGAAGTATGTTCCAAACCGGTACAGGTCCAACCGGAGAAATCATAGGTACTGAAGCGGGGGTATACGGTAGGTTAAAAACTGCCTTTCTAGGAATTAATTGGCTAATTAAAATGGATCGAGCATCTTAAATTGGACTTTTGGCTAACAGTAAAGGAATGAATACCTTGCCGCGCTCATGAACAGAATGCAGGTTTTTACAGCTTGATTCAATGGAGGTCGTGTATGGAGTTTTAAATGCAATACGGGAATGTTGGTGTGTCCACCGTGGAAGATAACTGCCGTAACTGCCAGTAGATATGTCAAAAGTATCAATCATGCCAAAATTACTGCCATTTACTCGACCTTTTTCTCTGTGATTTGTGCGTCCTTGATATCATCATCATCTTCATCGTCGCTGTCGTCGCTCGATTCTCCTGCTGCCATCTTGGCCTTCTCGGCCTGCACAAAGTCGTCTACCTTCTTGTCCATCGTGATTGCATGCATGAGGATACGCTGGACGATGAGCGCTGAGTCCATGTCCAGACCTTGGATCAACACGGCGGCGTCACGCTCGCCTTCCCAGATCATGTGCGTGGACGGGATGATGTTGTACCCGCCGCGGCGCTCGATTTCTTTGAGGCCGTTGACCGAGTTTTCGTCTTCGTTCGTGTACAATTCGTAAATGTCCTTGTAATCGCCCTCTTCTTCGTGGGCAAAGTACGGCACGGCCGCAATCACCTCGAGCACGTCGTTCAGCTCCCTCAGCAGCACCTCCATCTTGGATTCGTCTGGCTGGCTCGCTTTGGGCTGCTCGCGGAACGCTGGCGCGACCTCTGGCTGTGGCGCGCGCTGCGGCACGGCCTCGTCGCGCTCATACGTGTCGTCCGGCGGCAGCACCGCCGTGGTCGTGAGTCCCCAGCTGCCCTTGTTCCACTCGAACAACGGTTCCCATCCACATTCTTCAAAGAATTTGCCCAACTGCGTCTCCATCAACGTGCTGCAGGCGCCACCGGTGGTTTTCAGGTTCAATGTCACGTTTTTGAATTGGCCGGCCGTGCCGGTGGTGAGGTAGAACGGCAACGACAGCGTCTTGGCGGGCGGGAATTCGCCGCGGATGTTTGCGATCGCGTCCAAGATGCCCATCAGTTCCTTGTACGATTCGGTGTTGGTGTGTTGTTCTTTGGGGAATTGGCCAAACAAGTCCGGGTGCGTGCGGAGGTACAGCTTGCGCAGCGTTTCCTTGATCGGAGGAATGCGCGTCGCCTTCTTCTTGCTCTCGCGCAGCTGTTTGCGTCGCAATGCACGTTCACTCAGCTTGGCCATGGAGCGTTCTTGGGCGCCTTGCATCCATGACGACGTGGTCGGTCGTAGCAGACTCGGCCCCGTCGCCGTCACCCTAGAAAACACTCGGCCAAACATCGTGGAACAGGTATGACGTTTGGGCACCAGTCACGATGGGCGCTCTCAAGCACACGGATAAAATCGTTGAATCATCCGGATAATGCGACATTTGATAATTGTGGCACGCCAATCACATACTGCACTCTGATTGGCTGACATCAGAGGGGTTCCAGTCAGTTGCAGTTGCGTGAGCCAATCAGACCGTGAATGCTACAAAACTCGAAAAGCAGTCCAGTCATTTGGCGCCGCCAGCGCGGCAGAGACAACGCGCCGACGACAAATCGAATGAAGTTGGAGGAAGTGCACATTTGAGAAGCCTTTTGACATAAAACTCAAGAGGATGAATGGCTTGGTACAGGCGGCATGCGGCAGTCGGTGTGTTGGATGTCTGGCGCGACAAGACAATATGCCATGTGTAGCAATAACAGGAGGTGTGGTATTAGCAAATATAGGGCACAAAGGGCAATGTCCATTCCACTTGTAGACTTCGCCCGCATAAAATATAGGGAGGTACGGCAATAAATAAAGGCAATGCAGTGAGAGGGGACAGGATAAGCCACACTGTCGTCGTCGTGGCTTCGAGGGGTTGTAGTCGATGGTGTTCGTGGCAGACGGTGGTTGGGGACACACGAGGACATCACACACGCACGAGCTTGTCGGGGCGAAGGGCGGGGTTGAGCAACTCGAGCTTGCGTTTGTTTTCGCGCTTGAAGTCGAAGGCACAGCGGTGCGTCTCTGGGTATCGGTGGGAGCCGCAAAAAGTGTAGCCGCACTTGCACGAGGCCGGCGTCAAGCCAAGCTTGGCATTGCACGACCAGCACTTGCGCTTGTTGGATTGGAGCGGCATCAGCGGTGGCTTTTTCAATGGCTCCTGCAACTTCTGCACGACTTTGTCAAAGCCAAAGTAAGGAGCATCAGGACTCAACGCGTCTTGCATCCAGCAACGGTCTCGGCGCATGGCGCTGCTCGATGCTTCTTCCATCGTACCCAACCCCAAACTCAGGCCAGTTCGCGCAAACTCGGCCTTCATTTCCTCGCCTTCGAGGTACACGCGCAACACTTCGTATAGTAGGTCACGGTCCATGGCCGTTCGTCCAAATGAGACTTGCGGCAGCGATGGAGGCATATGGTAAGGTATCAAGGCGCCGACGACTGTGTCGATCGATCTCCTTGATGATTTCGAGAACTGACTGTGAAGTTGAAGAAAACTTGGATATATGTGGTCATCCGGATAATTTACATTCGCCATTCCATTTTTTGCCCGAATTGTTTTGTTCGTGGCATTTGATTGGATACCAAGTTCAACGCGGGCATTGGTCACGAAATCGAAACGGCTTTGACGCCATTATCCGGATAATCCGAAGGCCAGTGGCTGCAGCGTCCCAACGGTTCACCAAAACGTACGGATAAATCGTGTTTTTCCGGAAAGAACGCCGCTGGAATCGTCCAGATGTCAGGTTGGTAGTCATTAGCCAATTCATCATACCAGGGGCTTCGCTCCTCATCAACTTCAAGCTTCCGTTGTGTTTCACACGTTCTTACTGCGGAGTCAGAGTATTGGTGAAGTGCGGTGCTTATACCTGCTTGTGTGTCGTGTCATAGCAGCTCCAGCGAGGTTGTTCTGTGACTAGGCTCTCCCATGGACCCAGCCATCTTCGATCAGTACCGTGGGCAACTAGGCTCTCCCATGGACCCAGCCATCTTCGATCAGTACCGTGGGCAACTTGTGCGAATCCTAATGTACACGTACAGTGTATCTCTGGTCGATTCGACTTTTTCAAAGTCACACCGCAAGTTGAAATGTACGGGCTGTTGTGTTGGAAGTTTAAGCGTTGCAACGGCCATCACGTACAAATATGGGTGTGTGGTTGGTTATAAGCCCAAGGAGCAATGCCCACTTAGGTTGGTGGTTGATTCAGGAGGATCGTGCCACGCTGACTTTCAGCTGAGCTTCTTTCACGAAAACAGTGTTCTATTCTGAAGTGTACGCTACATTATGTCTTCTCCATTCAAGCATGAGAGCTCAGAGGCTTCTGCGGCGCTGGTAGTACTACAGTTACAGCAATATTGACCGATCCCGCGCTCCGTACTATTCCTCGTGCAGGCACATGTGGCATGTTCCTTCTCCATCTCTCATCCATATTGGCTACAATCTCCTCAGTCACTACATGTACTGTAGCCGTGCACGCGTATGGCGATATACATGTACTCCTGGTACATACTGTACCGGCAGTACAATGTACTTGCTCGCTTGTTCGAGTTTTGCACCGTCCTCGTTGTTTGTATGGCGCCATCCCATTGGCGCAATTGCGTAACGCCTTGTTTCTATCAGCGACTAATATGCAGCGCCGCACTTCGATTGGGCGAGCGCTTTTGCTAAACGTGCCACCACCTTTCAGGATCAGATCCTGTCACTCCAACAATCGTGGGCTCGTCATCATTCCCCCCCTACGACACCAACGCCAGCGAAAAACGCAATCCAATGCGTGATGTGCACATCTCATCTGATGTGTACCGCAAGTTTATATGCTCGACATTCACTAGCTTGTGTCGAACGCAACGCCCGAATCCGTCGAGCAGTGAAAGTCGCCGTGTGCCCTATCTAATGGCTGGAAAATTGTGTCGAATACTAGGAAGAATCTTGGTGGTCGATGGCCTTTTTCATGGCTAATCAATCCACCGTATCGATGCTACCGCAACATGTGGATGTGTTGGTAGCCTCAATGGCATCGAAAGTCACCTCTTTACGTGACGCCATGCATTGCGACGCCTTTGTCTACGCGTCCATTCTCAGTACGCATATGGTCCGTTCCAGTTTGTTGGCATCCAAGCGGCCAAGAGTCGTCTCTGTAGCAGCTTCGCAACCCCCCTGCTGGGCAAACCGACCACGAATATGTGTACGGGGAGGAAGGTACCAATAATGTCGTTAACTTCATTTTGTGTATTTAGCTTCAGACATCTAGTTTTCTGGCACGAGAAACGTTTGTGGTTACAACCAAACATGTGCATCTAAATTTAGTAACGTTAACGTGGTTATCCGTCAATGCCATCATGGAAAACTATCCGTGGTCAAGCTGTATCGACGCAGTGTCGATGTTCGTGGAGTTTCACATTCGCTGCCGCTACATTCCGAGAAATTGCACTGCAAGCCAGAGTGTTGCTGCGTCGAGCGACAGGGGTGACATCAAAGTGCGCCCTCGATTTTGTCCAACGATTTGCTCGCCTTGGCCAAGCAAGACAACGATGGGCATAGAGCCACATTCAACTTTGCAGTGCACTGAGTCGTACATAGACAACAATAGACCACTCTAGTTGTGAGAACGAATAATATACAAATATATCGCTTTACAAGCAGGCGTCAACTTCACTTGGGGTGGATATAGGAACACCTGTGATGTCTGCGGGAAAGCATGTCGCCACACATCTCCATCGCTGCAACCAAAGTGAATATGTGAACAGTACCAACGTGAATCGATAAGAAGTGACTGCATTCGCCACATTGCGGTGATACATGAATATGATGCCAGGGAAACGAAGTTGCTAGGTAGAAGTGTGGCGAGTTGTCCATTTATTGAATGCCATTGCAAACATTCACACGTTTCAATTGTCTATCTTTTGATAACCATGACGTTTGATTGGTTGGAATTCCTCCAATAAAACGACCCGAGACAAAAGATCGAAACTTGAGGACGACTTGAAAAAGCGAAGATTTGACCTTGATAGACAGTCAATTCGCACAATCGAATCCTACTTCGTCCATGTCGATTCTGGCATACATCCATGTGACTCTTGCGGGCATGAAGCGGCAGATCCCGGCCCCCGTCGCAACCTTTGGCTCCCATAGCCCTAGCACGTACACTGGCGCGTTGGTGCACGTTGTCCCGGCGACGGCATTCCCGTCGATCCAAAACGCATCTGCCCTGCGGGGGCGCATCGCCGTGGTCCAACGTGGTGACTGCTCGTTCGCGGCAAAGGCCAAGAGCATTCAAGCCGCTGGTGCTATCGGCATGATTCTTACAAACTCCAGCGAGGAGCTCGTGCGGATGGGTGAAGCTTTCGAACGTGAAGGCGCGGGTGTGGACATTCCTGTGCTCATGGTCGGGCAGGTCATGGGCAAGTCGCTTCGCGATGGCACCCAGGTGGTCTTGGAAGTCAAGCACGAGCTAGCCAAGGTAGGCCATCATCACCGTTTTCACCAAGCCATCGATCGTTCATCCTTCTTCGTGGTACCATGTGCTAGTCATTTTTACAAGCTGGTGTCGAAGCTGTCAAGAAAACTGTTGAACACACAAACGGAGTCGTCCAAGCTGGCGTAGATGTCGTCAAGAAGAGTGTTGAAGGGGTACGTCCACCATTCACGCATTCACACAGTAACGTTAGCCACAATTCATCCAAACACTGCTCAGTTTCCCTGTTGTCCATTCTAGTACACAAAAGACCCCGAGATCGTGCATTTCTTGGCCCCGTCAATCTCATCCGCCATCGAACCCCATTCCCACGTATCTTCCAAGCCATCGTCTCCACTCCCGCCGCTCTTTGCCTTTGTCCTGTATGCCACGTCAGCCGACGAATTCCACGTGCAGTTTGCACCCCTTGCCGACTTTGGACTTCGACACCGCAAGAAACTGTACTTTCGAAGCCGCCTCGTCACAGCCAGTCCCCGCACCGCGCATCCTTCCGTGGCCAACAAGCCCGAGTTTGCCGGCGCCATCGCATTTGTCGACCGCGGGGGGTGCACATTCCCCGAAAAGATCGAACGGCTGCAGCAAGCCGGTGCGATTGCTGTCATCGTTGCCAACAATGACGTGGCCAACCCTACATCCGCCTTCGTCATGAGCGTGGACCAGATGGCGGTGGATCACATCACGATCCCGTCTGTGATGCTGCCGTACTCCGTCGCACAGCACGTCACCACCAACCCCCCCGACCGTGTGGGGATCGTATGCCTCGATGGCACCGCCGCCGGCGTCCTCCTGGCCAACGACACGACGACGTACTCCCTTTGGTCCCCTCCCCCTTCGTCGGCGTCTTTGCCGCCGCTCTTGCATGCCGCCCGTCATGGCCATACTTCGCAGCTCATGGCCCTCCTAGATCAACCTCTCACGTCCCCCCGCCTCACCGACGCCTTCAACGTGTCGGCGCTGCATTATGCATGCATCGGGGGCTCAGTCGCCGCGGTGGAGCTGCTGCTTGCAGCCGGCGCCCACGTGGACGCTCTCGACCTGGGCTCGCAAACCCCCCTCCACTACGCGTGCATGACCCCCAGCGTCGGATGCGTCCAGGCGCTTGTCACGGCCGCCGCGCACACGCTGGCCATCAACGAAGGCGGCAGCACACCGCTGCACGTGGCGTGCTTTGCAGGCAGCACCGAGTGCATGGAGGTGCTTCTCACTGCTACTGCCACCACCGACGCGAGTGGCAAGTACGTGTTTCACGGAGTTGACGATGTCGACAAGAGCGGGCGCACGCCGCTGCATGTGGCCTGTCGGTACGGCCACGGCGACTGCGCCATGTACTTGATGGCGGCGGGGGCCAACGTGAACGTTGTTGACGCCAAAGGATGGACAGCCATGCATTATGTGTGCGACCGCATCAACGTCGCCGTCTCGTCCAGCGACGTGTCCGTCAAGGCGGAATTGCACGTGGTTGAGCAACTTCTGCGACATGGGGCGACCATGGTGGACGCCAAGGCGACGGCGGATGGCACGACATTGATACTAGACCGCATTCGATCCAATGCAGTTCGGAGGGACGTGGAACTGCTCTACTTGCGACAGGAGGTTGCGACGCACCGCCGTCAAGCGGGTACGTGGCAGCTGGAGTGGGCGCGCATGCAAGCCAGCATGCACCAAGTGGTTCACACGGCCAAGACAGACGCGACCGCCGCCACCCTCGACTTGCAACGCACGGTGGACGCGCAACAGCGGGCGATTCACCACATGCAGTGCCAGCTCACGTCTGTGCTCCACATTTTACAAGGCACAAACCAACCTGGAGCCGCAGCAGGTTCCGTCGACCCCCTCGCCCACAACCACGAAGTCCACAAAACTGATATGGAGCGCGCCCAAGAGGCGGCGCTGGCACGAGACCTCGGGCGCAAGTGCATGCGAGCCAAGCAGTACGCCCTGGCCAAATCGTACTTTGAAACGTCGTTGCAATGGTATGGCCTACCAGGGGTCAGGCGATTGCTAGACCAAGTCAACGCGCTGCTCGTCGCCCCGTTGTCCGTTGGTGGGGGAGAGAAATCAGTGTCAACCAGCGTCCTCATTCGTACCTACCGGAGCAAGTTGCAGACGGCGGGCATGTCTCAAGAGGCGGTGTCGGCGGTAGAGGCGGAGATCGCCGCCCTCGAGACCGTCGACCCCACCAGTGCGCAGTTTACTATGGTCACAGCGTGGCTAGACTGGCTCGTGGGGTTGCCCTGGCACGACCAGGTCCCGAGTTTTGATTTGTTTCGTCGTGTAAACCAAGCGCAATGTGAAGACGTGGCCGCCAAACGGAACGCCGCGGCGGTCGTTGTCCAGCGCGCCGTGCGGCATCACATATCGGCTCGTCTGTTTCATCGGCAATGGGCGGCCGTGATCCTTCAAGCGAGGGTGCGTGGATGGCAGACTCGACGAAAACACCCTAAACGACAGGAGGATGCTGGTCTGACCTCTGATCCACTACCGTTGAGAGATGCTCAAGGCACGACCGCCACCACCACGAATCAACCGACGGGCATCAAAGACGTGGAAGTCGACTTTCAATCGACGGTAGACCCGACGCTAGGCAAACCCACCGCGACCGTCGTGCGCGGCGTGCAGCTGAGGCAAGGTCCGACCAAACGGTACATTCTGCAGTGGCTGCTAATACCCGACACGAACGACCAGTACGTGTGGACGCGGTGGAGTACCTCCGACGGCAAGGTCCAGTGCGCGCTCAAAGGGCCGTACGACACGACCTCTGACGACGCCCAGATGGAGTTTGAAAAGATTTTCAAGCTCAAGACCCACCACAAATGGGGTACGTCCTGTGACGACGCCTGCAAAGGCCCCACAAACCAATGGGCATACCACCCCCAGCACTACAGCCCCTCCACCACCACCCCTGCCAATCTGGTCGCGTAGCCACTACTTGATTAATTTTATTATTAGTGAGTGCAATACGTAGACATGGTACTCTGGAGTCTTCTAACGGTCAAGTGTGATTGAACACAACCTGAAAAAGAAGAATATTATTACGTTGGGTGACATACGTCGAAATGATAACAACACAAATATATTATTAGAACACAATATTATCACAGATAGTTGTAGAAACCCGAAGCAGTAGCATCGATGTCTAGGGTGCGTGCGTCTGGTACAGTAACCAGAAGTATTGCAATTTTCAGGCCCGAAACGCCATTTTGGGGCCGAATTCAATCAATCTGATTAAAATAGAAACATGTCGTGCTGGAAAAGATTTAACCCTAATCCAATAAATACTTGCACGTGGGATTTACTCGTCGAAGAGGTCGAAAACTCCATATTACAAAATATTGGACCTTTTACCTCCATTTTGATAATGGCATTTTGGTTAATCCCAGTTTTCGAGAAAATCGAAATTCTATTTTTGAAATCTTACCAGACGCACCCTAAAGGGAAAGAATTGAAGAACACGTCATGTCGAATTTCAGCCAATCCAAACGTTTGATTCGGCCCAGTCAGACCCTTCGCGTTGGGTAAAACCATATATATATACACTAATCTTATATATATATACTATTAATAGTATATATATACACTAATGTTATATATATATACTAGTATATATATAGAATAATCTCTGTAACGCTTATTTTGTACAAGCGTAGGGCTAGCCTGGATGCCACGTCATAAAATTATACCATAAACCGTATTGGCAAGTCTGCAAAATTTTCCCACAGTCTCATATCCCATGAAAAAAAATCGAGAAAACAAGTAATATATACATAGTTGTCTAGATGCCAGTTGAATTTTGGAAACATTATTCGTTATTTCCGATGGAACAAATCAGTCCATATCAAGTTGGACCAAATTGGTCCAATTCTTACGATGGTATGCCATAAAACACGTCAAGTGAACTTTGGTGGCATCCAGACGCACCAGGTCTTGAAAAAAAGAATATTTCGATTTTGGCAACATTTCTTCGAATAATGGCCATTTTATGCCATTGGTTGCGACATCTAGACTCGGCCTTCAATTCGATCAAATAAACTTGAATGCTATTTGGCGAAATGAACTCGCAAGTCCAACTTTGGGTGCAATATGACTCGCAAGCATGTATGTATTATGTTGGGCAGCAACTTATCGGTAGTGCACTTGAAATACTTCAGTATGATATTAACATGCAAATCGTGGTTATATGTTTCGATGGCAACTGGTTACTGCTGCTGCTGCAACGACGAAGAGGATACGTTGATTGTGGCAAAGTCTTCGCCATCGTCGCCGTCGTCATATTCAGGACGCAGCGCATCCTTGGACGTGTCGCCGTCGTCGTCGAGGGGATCGGTCCCATGGAACGAGCCCGTGTCCGGATGCAAGTGCGTGAAGAACGGCACCCAGTACTTGGCGTCAAACTGGAGCACTTTCATACGCTTGATCGGGACCACGTTTTGGTCGAGCTCGATTTCCTCGGCGGGCTACCAAAACCATTTTTTTATATATATTTTGGTGGTCGATATAATATACACTGTATTTATAGTATTCGCCCTCAAGATACTGTATGTTTCCAGTTTTTTTGTATCCATCAAATGTACAGTACGTACGGTCAATTGCTTGATCTTCAAGTACTTGAGCATGGGCACCGTGAGCCCGCCGCCGATGAATAGCGTCGCCAGCACCACGACCATCGTCGTCGCAATCACTTGCTACAATACAAACAACAGCGCTGCAAGTTATTCGCGGCTCAAATAATATTTGCCTTTTCGCCCAAATTTGCCAATTGGTTGGGGGATTGTTGAAATACACCGAAAAATCCAGCAAAGGGTTAGGATTCGATTTATAAAATGAAGGTTGCAACACGATTGGCTAGAATGAATGATATATTCCCAATGGTGCCGTTTCAAGTCTATCAGATAATATATTTCAAGTATAATATATTTCCAAAGTTTGGCGATTCGTGGGCGGTTCCCATACAATCCGCATACAAACCATCGGGAAACCACCAGGTCTCCAACATGGAAGAAGTCGACATAGATATTGTGGTATATTCGATACGAATTTCCAGACGACCCCGTCGAATCGAATGATCTCGCCGCCAAATCGAATCATCACGAATCATCGACGCTATTGGCTAATCCATTTTTGAATGGATGATTTGATTGGCTTTTGCAGAAACGAATGTATATTCAACCAATCAGAACTCCACATTGATTCAATATTGATTCGACAAACCACGCGAATTTTGGAAATTTATAGCGAAAAATTCAACCAATCAACAACGAATTAGTGGATAACTAAATATATTAGTGTGATGGGCGTCACTCGTGGACATACTTTTACATACAAAATTCGGAAATTCGGTATAAAAATCGATCGATATATTTGAAACATCAACATAAAAGTCCAAATTCTGGCTAAAACGACAATATCTATATCGATCCATGTCGTACGTACGCTTCGTTTGTCGTTGGGCCACTCCAGCGCAAGCGCAAAGCAGAGGGCGCCCCGGAATCCGCTGAACCAAATCATCACTTGCTGGCTTTTCTTCACTTGGCGGTCCGGGTCGCGGCGCAAGTTGACCAAGTACGAGAGCGGAAACACAAACGCGGCGCGGCCGGCAAGACACGCCAAGAGGGCCCAAAAGATGAACTTAAAGTGATAGCCCACTTGCAGCGCAAAGATGGCCAGGCCCAAGTCTATCCAACCGTCCATATATATAAATATATATATATATATATCTACATATATGGACGTACTGAGAAAGATTGTGGTCTCGGACACGTACGAGATCGCATTGAACATGCGTCCACACCTACAACGTGATCATTCAACGATAAAGTTAAAAAAAAAACGCATAAAATACACTTACATTTCTTTGCCTTGGTCGCTCAAGTTGTTGCTCGTGTAATGCTTCATGGTAATGCCTATCCGCAACAACAAAAATGAGTAATTCCCTTATGACAAACCATCGACGGCATGAATATATATATATATATACGACAAAACAAGAGATAACGGCAATACATATCTTTGTATTTATGCATACACATGACACATCAACATACAACGGCAATATATATATATATATATATATGTATATATATGTGACAAACCAACATACAACGGCAATATGTATATATATATATAAGACAAACCAACATCGAACGGGAATATATACATAAATCGACATGCGACGATACCTGTAAAGAGAATGGCCACGACCCCCGACAAGTCGAAGATCATGGCGACGAGGAACGGCAGGTACGCAAACATCATGTACACGCCCATCTAGGGGTTAATGGGGTGAGGGCGATGTGGTTGGTGCGATGACGTGGCAAAGCCCCGTACCTCATGGTAGAGACACCCCTTGAAGTCAAAGTGCTTGAAAAGGAGGGCGGAGAGGACGCCAAAGAGGATGCCGATGAGCGTCGACCCGACAAAGATCAGGACAAAGTCCAAAATCGCGATAGGCAAGTACGACGACGAGTAAACGTTCCCAATGAATTTGGAGAACGTCCCGAACAACACGATGGCCACGGCATCGTTGAGTGAGCTTTCGCCAAACACCAAGTAAAACAACGTCGGGTCCACGCGCAGTTCTTGAAAGATGGCCAGCACCGACACCGTGTCCTATTCAGGTTTATATATATATATATCATATTGAAGCAACAAATATTTAGAAATAATATTAGGAGAATAGGAGAGTGTATGTCATGTGAATCACAGGAACACTAGGAGTGGTTACCGTGGCGCTGATGAGCGCGCCAAACGACAAGGCTTCTGCGAGCGACAACTTGATGCTGAATGCGAGCTGCCCCACGACGTACATGATCAACCCGACGCTCACGCTCGAGATGGTTGTGCCCACGACCGCATACATGACGATGGGCACGATGTTGTCAAAGAAGTACCGACGCTTCATGGTGTACCCTACAAAAGCAACGATGACGACATACGAAGGTGCGAAGATATCTAGGGGAGGAGGCGGCACGGACCAGAGTTGAAGATGATCGGAGGAAGCAACGCAATGAAGAACGTGTTCGGGTCAAAGATCATGAGCTACGAGGATTTCAAGCATGGTCATGGTCGAGTTTTGGATATCACGATATCGAGGGATGGTATACATACCGAGTGGGTGATGCTGTTGTTGTACATGTAGCACAACACGCCGCCCAAAGCCCCGACGAGGATCGTCGCTACCACATGGGATTAGACCTGATGCATTGGATTGGTAAAAGTGGATAGATACCCCCTGCTTCCGGAAGAAAGTGCCAGTGAAGATGGTGGACGAAGTAGTTGCTCACGACGATCGACGTCATGAGCAGCGCGAGGAAGAGCGAGAAGAAGAACGAGAGCTGGTACTGGTTGCTCATGCCATAGTAATGCTCCTCTTCGGCGTTGCCCGCAGTCAGTTCACTCATGTTGCTTGATCCTTCAGGAGCACGTCCAAGCTGCGAAATATCCACTGCCAAGATGAAACGACCGAAAAATCAGCTGGGAGTTTCAGCTTCTTTCAACGATTTTGATTGGAGCAAACGATTCTCATAGACGGCCTTGATTGGATAGATTACAAATTAAGCAAACCAATCAAATGACAATATCTCGGCATAATTTTGGGGGTTTCGGGGTTTCGGGGTTTTGACTTTCAGTCTAGCTGGTACGAACGATATGTATGTAATAACTTCGAAACCCCCTACTAGTATTACTAGTGCGAACAATGGAAGTACTTTCATATACAGCATGCTTGACAAGTTTGATGTGCAGGAATTGTCAGGTAAATGTGATGGTAGGATAGCAAGAAGTACGTAATCTTCAATTGATTTCTCAAGTAGTTGTTTATTTGGGGGAGATGTATTACTGATACTAGTAACTTAGAAAACGCTACACTATAATAGATGTGAATTGGCCTGGGGAATCGGCCGGCTCAAAGGCGAGATCCAGGCCGAGGTATACGTAGTAGAGGAGGGTAACCAGGTGTGGGGCGGTAGATGGTCTGGGGGAGGCGTCGCCAACTTCGTACACGTCGCGCGGTCGTCGGGGGGCTGCTTGGATGATTTGATTCCACAAGTTCGAACTTGAATGTATTTTTTACTACGCCATACTTTTGGCCAAGTGTAGCGCAGGCAGGCAATACATATTATGTGGTTTCAGTATCCATCCAACGGAGCCAGACACCTATTCTTACTCCTGTCGCAGCAACGTTAGCAATTTGGCCCTGAGTTCGACTCGAACATCGCCGCCGTCGCCTTTGGCTGCGGCGGCATCGATGGCCGCGATGGCTTTGCGAACGAGCGAGTCGGCTGCTTTTCGATCTTTCTTGACTTTGACGAGAAACTGGCCCAAAGTACGCTGTCAATCCTAAAGCACGAACACTACTATACGTAGACGACTAACCTTGGCATACACTGTCACAGCGTCCACGTCCGTCTTGTCGAGAAAGATAGCCTACGACCGCTCGTAATGATAAGTATATATATATGATCCATATTACTCGTTTGTAGCATGCTTCGGCTTTGGCGGCGTGATGCTCCATGACTTGATGAAACAGCCCCTTGGCTACCTATCCATGCAATATCGAACTGTTCCATATATCGTCTACGTCGTACCGACACTTTGACTGTTAGCGCCGCGACGGCAAACGCCTTGTCGAACACGTCGGACGGCGCGCAGCACTGGTGTTTCGCCAAGTGGGTGGCGATGTCTGCCACGAGCGTCGTCTTGCAAGGGCACAGTCGTATCAGGTCTTGAAACAACTGTCCATAACCACATCCGATCCACCGTTTGTGTTGATATTCCTCAATGAGAGCGTCGAACTATACCACTTCGACTTGACTAGTATCGGTGGCACTTCGGTTGATGTCGTAGCTCGGGCTTTCCATGTGCAGGAGCAGCACCTTGGCCAAGTTGTACGTGGCGTTGGTGTTGGAGGGCGCGAGGGCGTGCGCTGTTTGGTACATCCGCTCCGCCTCGAGGGGTCTCTACGTATGCCGACGAGAGTGTGACCACTTCCCATACGTCCAGAAACGAATCACAAACATGTTCGCGAAAGAGAAAGCTGGCATAGTCCAAGTACGCGTCGCTGTTTTGATCGTCGGCGTCGATGGCTTGCGCAAAATACTACAACCATAATGCGTGTCAATATATCGTCGTCCAATACTATTTCATTGATGGGAAATGGAATGATTCGGTAGGTACCGCGTCGGCCAGCGCCGCGTGGCCGCACTCCGCATCGAGCATTCGGGCGTAGTTTAACGCTGCGGGGGCGTGGTGGGGTTGGAGGGCCAACGCATGTTGAAAACACTGCTCCGCCTAATAATTTGGCCCAGCCAAAATCGACAGTGTTTGGAAGTGAAGATATAAAAGAACTACAACAGAAAGTAGACACCCCATTGACGTACATTGTCAGTGTGCTTGAGCTCCCTCCACAACAGCATCCCATACTAACGTTACAGTAGTATAGTATTCAATCAGCCCACGACATCAGCAGCACTAGGCGACGGGTACTCATGATACACATACGTACGTTGAACCAATTGGTGGCATGGTGGCGGTTGCATGTTAACGACCGCTTGTAGAAGACTTCCGCGTCCTGGGGGTTGTGGCATACAGACCCGAGGAAGAAGGCGTAATTGCCCAAGTTGTTGGCGTGGAGTGGATCCAACTGAATGGCGGCAATGTACATTTCTTCGGCCGCCTACTGATCCGAGAACTCCAAGATACGATCTCCGGAATTGGTGTAGTACCGGGTGGTCTTGCTTGATCGCGTGCAAGAACATGGCATAGTTCCCGAGACTACACACGCATATATTGGTCGATTGTTGACATATGACATACGGCACATTGTACATGTCTGGGCTCGTGGGGCTGGTGCTGGCCGCTTGGGTGTAGTACGTTTCGGCCAGCGCCACGTTGTTCTCCTGCACGAGCAGCCCGGCATACTTACACAAGACACTACCATGGGCCGGGAACTCGCGAATCGCGACGTTGTACGCACTAACCACAAGCCATGTCACGGATTTGTGGATTCGGAGATATTGGCTAGACCATATTAACGTACTGGTGAACCACGGCGTTGTTGGTCTCGTGTGCCTTGGTGGCGCTGTTCATTTTGTGCACAAGCATGGCGTAGTTTCCGAGGGCGTGGGGGTGGGTCGGGTGGTTGGCCAAAATGCGTTCGTAAATGCGTTTGGCTTGGACCCAGTTGTGGCGGTGATGCTCAACGAAGAACGCGTAATGCGCTGCGACGACGTTGATTACGATTTTCAAGCAAAGGACGTGGGAATGACGGTCGTACCCAGAGTGTTCACACACTCGTCGTGGTCGCGCAGGACAAATGCGTCGTCGAGGTGGTGCGGACACTGCGCCATCGACGCTTCAAAGAACGCGCCGGCTTCGTCTGCTCGGTTGCTCATCAACAGGACTTGAGCGTACCTACCGCGCTTCCCCCTTGAGGTGTGTCTGCGACAGGTGCGAATGTTGGTGTACCTTGACAAGGATTGACATGTAACGTCGTTTTGCATGCGACTGAAATACTTGTCGTGAATCTGCTGTACCAGTTCCATGTTGCCTGGGGCTACGGCGACCATGGTAGTGGTCATGACGAGGCGGGCTATATTTGGACGCTATTATTACTACTATGGCTGGGGTGACCTGTATTTTGCATCATTAGTACATATTAATAGTATATAGACTGTACAGGTGTGCTACATCCTGCTTGATGCCTTTTGCACTAGTAGTTCAAAGGTCTCCATCGAGTTGGCGTACGAGTTCGTGTCGAGAAGTGTTATTGCTATGCATATGTGTATTTAGTCATGGAACCTTTACCGCCGATGCGTTGCCAGCACGTGCATACTAGTAAATTGAAGCCAACAAACACAGTGTACATATTGTGCATCGCAGTCGAGTACATTTCCTTTTAACATCAAAATTCGATCATATATCTCACGTTGCCCTTGCAATTTGCTGTTGAAATATCGTGGCTTGGACGAGCAATTCCTGCGAGTGGAGGGCTCGCAGCTGTTCCATTTGATATGACTGCGCTGCCAGTTTGTCTTGAAGCCTACATCCCGTTGTCACAAACATGCGACCAATAAAAGCGCTAACGTTATATATATATATATATCCATGACACTGTAAGCCCACCTCGTTAGTTCGCACTGCAACGTGTCGACACCTTCAGATGTTTGTGGAGAGTGCTGATGCTGAAACTGATTGTTGGATAGCACAATCGAAGGTTGCTCGTCCATATAGTCGTGGCTTGGTTTGGACTTTGCCTTTTTACCCGCAACTTGTCGATGCACCGCCATCAACTCTAGTTGAAGACGCTTGTTGTCACTGTGCACAGCTTCCAGAGCTTTCGCTCGCTTTGTCAGGTGCGACAGTGGGCGCAGTTTGCTCTCCAGAATGGCCACTCGATCATTGGCTTGCTTGAGCTTGGCTTCCAGAGCCTTGTTCCGTCGATGCAGCAGCGCCGTCGTATCCTCCGCCGTCCGCTTGGCCTTGTCGATTTGATCTTGCATGGACATGACCTTGGTCGCGTGGTCTACTGTCCACTGGGCCACCGCTTTTTCCATTGACGTAGCGGCGTGGTGAGTGAGTTGGTCGACAGTTTGGGCTAGCTTTTTAGCGTCGGCTGCGCGTTTGTTGCGAAGCGATGCCACTTCCACTTCGAGTTTGTGCTGTTTCTCCTTAGCACTTTCGGCGCTGGCTTGCCATCGACCGATCGTCAGCTTGGCCGCGTCAAGTTTACCCATCGCGTCGACCTTGGCTTTCGTCAGCGTTTCCACTTTGCCTTCTGCGACACTGCACTTTGCCTACAGTATCATATGCCCCCACCGTTATTGATGTTCATGACGATAACGTCATACGGAAAGTCCCACACCTTTGCCTGGTGCAAGTCCATTTGAACAGCGAGCAATTTCTTGCGATGTGAGTCGGTTTCAGCTTGGGCGACAACGACAGTTTGTTGGAGGGATGTGCAGTGTTGAGCGAATTCTTCGCGCTCGGCGGCCGCGGTCGCCACTTTGATATGGTACGCCAGCAATTGGTTTTCCATGTCAGCCATGTCAGCCACAGCCTAATGATGTTGTTTGCTTGAGAATGCATTGGATATATGATATTTTTGTTAAGTAATATATATATATCAAGTAGACAGTGAAAAGGTCAACGTACTCGTTCCCATCTTGCTTGCAATCCATCCCGCTCGGACGCAATACAGTTCAACTGCACTTTGAGTTTCGCCAAGTCGGAATTGCTGGTCTCACGCAGTGCTTTGAGTTGATGCTCAAGCTGTTGTTGCTTCGACTGGTGTATGGATGATTGTGTTGGAGGTACCGTGGCTGAATGTGCATGGACAGCAGCAGGCCCCCCTAGCGATAGTTGTTTCTTGGACCTTGGCTTGACGGGACGGGGCGTCGCACGAGGTCGCGCAGTGGCCACTAGAGCTGCCGTGTCGTCCTCCCATTTGCTCGGATAAACGCTGTCAACTGTGTATTCCAAAGGCGGCTTTGTCGCCGCAACTGGACGACGCAATCGGGCTGTCTGTTGTGCGTCTGTATTGTCTTTGTTCTTGGGGGCAACCACGTCCTGGAGTGGCGAGGACGGCTGGGTAGTCTCAATCCAATCCCGTTCATTCTGGCTGATTGCCTCAGGTAGCTTGATGGTGGGTTCGTCTTGTACGTGCTGCTTAGCGCCCTTGTTGGTTGCGGGGTTGCGGTCTTCGTTCGTACATTCGTCACTTGCCTTGTTCGTGTTCTTTCCATTCTCGCTCGCCTCTAATATAATTGAGCGTTGCATGCTGTCATGAGCATCGTCCATTGACTCGTTGGGTTGTGATTTCAAGGTGGTTTTTTCACCCAAGTTGTTTCGATGTTGGCTGGTATGCAAGGGGGGGGTGGGCTGCTCGTCTCTGCAGTTGCTGCTGTTACCTTCTTCTTGCAAGGTCGTTGGCGCAGTCGTCGACGACAACATGAACGTACTCGCCCCCACCATACCAACACTTTCACCTCCTTCGTCTCCCTGGAGTGGTGCTGAAGCCGCCTGGCGTTCTACATGTTGACTTGTATCGGATTTGCCGAATCCGTCTGTCCTTCCTTCCTTTAGCTTGCGTCGCGTGGCGGCGGCCTACCGCATCGATGAAGGCAGATCCCATACTTGGGTAGGCACAAACTGCATACATGAGAAAGATCGGGGGCGTGGGCGGACGTATCATCGCCCTCAACCGCCGCATTGGAAGTCGTGTCGTTGGACATGCAGTCGTCATGTTTCCATAATGGGGGGACAACGTAATGGATAGCATGGCTTACCGACAGTCTACACAAAAACACAATGTTGCCAACAGAGACCCCCTGGATGTGTGTCCATCGTGTTCGCATACTCGTTGCGCTCGTCAAAGTTGAAGCTAAAGCGTAGATTCAGGGGCGACTTGGGGGCGACCTCACGAAGCAACACATCATTCGACGTGTCGCCCGATGATGCTATAAATGTAGTGGTAAGTTGAGGGAGCACTGACGAGTGTGACCTGCCACGACGACGTCCAAGGGGGCTGGCGCGGAGGGGCCCGGCGGTGGCTCGTCGTGGGGGGCTGGCGCGAGCAGAATGGAACTAGCATTGGCGGCATTGCTGCCGCTTGGAGGAATTCGGTCCATTGCACGATGTTTGATGGATATTACACACTTCGTAACTGTGACCAGTTGAGTGGGAAACCGCCACTACTAAATACTCTATAGGTATTGACATGCAGCCCGATAAGAACGTGTGTGTGACAAGGAAGTACGTGAAGTTGAAAGGTTGCAACGATCTACCTGTAGTGCATTATGTGGCCGTACTTCCACCATCTTAAGCCAGCATCCATTCTGCTTTGTTTCTTCGTGAACTGTCCTTTTACCGTACTGTATCATTCAAGTTGCCCTTTCATCAGCCAATCCGGTTGCGCCGTTTTAGAAAAACACCGTAAATTAGTGTAGTTCCTCCAATCAAACGACGTCAGCCGAAGATCCGAGCGGCATTTTGGTAATTGGCATCAGGCATGCAAGCAGTCCATGCGATCGCATACGTACGTAGATCTTCTCACGGAACGCGTCCACGTTCGCACTGCCTTCAACGTCATGCGTAGGCGGCTCCGCTCCTTACCGTCCTCCTTGTGTTTGTGTGGATGGCGTTCGTGATGACGTCGTACACGGTACAGCCCGACGGAACCATCGTCGCGACGCCTCAGGCAGGATTCTCGTGGGGTTACAAGAGCGACTTGGTGTTCAATTGGCATCCCGTCCTCATGTCGTTTGGATTCCTCTTCTGTTCGTCCCAAGGTATGTTCCTCATACTTGCATGCCCAAAGAGTTGATTCCATTGTGCCACTAGCGATTTTGGTGTTTGTCACCAAGCCATTCGCCCACATCACCAACAAACTCATCCACGTCGCGTGCCACTCCGTGTCCATTTTATCCGTGACCGTTGGCACCATCGCCATATTCCGCTACCACAACGAACATGGGTTTCACAACCTCCGCAGCGTCCACAGTTGGGTCGGCCTCACAACACTCATCGCGTTTGGGGCACAGGTTCCCTCATACTAGTATGTTGCAACACACCTGAATTCGAAAGTAGTACATGTTTGGGTATGTCGTGTACTATTTCCCCGGAGCCGCCGTCCCCTTCCGGAAACAGTCGATGCCGTTCCACATTGGCGTCGGTCTCGGGGTCATGGGACTGATCGCCATGACGTTTGGTGCGTGCTCTCAAATGTCCTTGTTCCTACGCTAACCCACACGTAGTGTCTGGTATTCTCGAGCAGCTGTCGTTCAACGCCAGCTGCGACTTGACTGGCACGCTACATGGCGCGAACGTGTCGTCGTATATGGCGTCGGATTGCGTGCTTGGTAGCATCACGGCCGTGTCCATCGCACTTCTGTTCGTGGCGCTGTTGCTGGTCGTGTGGGTGTCCAAACACCCTGTCGAGGAAACGATTGCCAACTCGGACGTCAAGATCCCGTTTCTAAAGTAGTGCTGCTGCTTAAGCTTCGTAAGAGTTGCAATACCAGTACACTACAAGCACCTTAAGCGCCCTGAACCTTTGTTTTCACAAGGAGCTGTGGAGAAGCATGGAGCACGCACGCAAGAAGTGAGTGGACGGGCACCACATTTGCAACATGCTGGGGAGCGACAGGCAGGGTACTATGGAAAAAAAGAATTGGCAATTCAATACACAAAATAATGTACTAGTATTGCAAAGCGCTAAAGAATTACAATAATTTAATTGTGCGAGATCCATAGTAATTTTACTTGAGCCAACCATATTTTATTATTATCTTATCATTTGTATTGAAATAAAATTGTTCATTTAAATAATTGACAATTAGACAATTTAATATTTAAATGCAGTAAGCAATGTACATGTCAATATGTATTATTACTTCTAGTAGTTATAATTACTCTGGAAACCCCTGGCGACAGGTCGCTTACTTCAACTTGACCGTCAAATAGTGTGTTTCTCGGATGATCCGGCCGTTGTTCGGATAAAAACTTGAGCTCGTTAATTCCGGATAATATGTCCTTGTGCCTCAACTGCAAGGATCAACCCATTGGCGATCTTGTCATCTTGTAGCAACTCCTACTTCCAACATGGTGATGGGAAGTGTGATGCGCACGTGCTCCTACGTACGTATTCCTAGCTGACGTGAGTGCTTGCTGCTGACGGTGATGCTTCTTGGATAGGTGCTGCCGTTCGTGGTGGTTGTTTTGATGGTCGTGTGGATGGGCACGACGCTAACGTCGTACACGGTCACGTCGGACGACACCGTCGAAGCCAAATCGTTGTCTGGCTTTGCGTGGGCTCCAAACGACGGTCGTGTGTTCAATTGGCATCCTGTCTTGATGTCATTTGGGCTGCTCTTTTGCTCGTCGCAAGGTATGCGATGGTCGCTCGTCATGACCTCGATTGACTTTGCAATACGTAGCGATCTTGATCTTTGTGACCAAGCCGTACTCGCACCACGTCAACAAAATGATTCACGTGGCATGCCATACTTGCGCCATTGTGTCTGTGATCGTGGGGTTGGTGGCTGTCGTTCGGTTTCACAACGAACACGACATCAAGAACTTCTACAGCTTGCACAGCTGGATCGGCCTGGCGACGTTGCTTGTGTTTGCAAGCCAAGTACGACGTCACGTTTATATACTTTGCAACTTATTCCAATCTTCTAGTACGCCTTGGGCTTCCTGGCGTTCTTTTACCCCGGCGTCCAGGTCAAGTTGCGCATGCTGCTCGTTCCGTACCATATCGGTCTTGGCGTCGGCATCGTTGCCCTGGTTGGGATCACTACAGGTACATGTGTGATTGTTATATTGATGTCTATAGAACCAGTATAAATTTAAACACAAATATATCTGTATTTGTACATGATATCACGGGTAAAAAGATCTCATTGCTCCTTTTGATATTATTAAAAGAGGTTTTGGCTGAATCTGCAACTATTATTGGTACTAGTTGAGTTCGCATAGTTTGATTAGTACTCGTTGAGCTCGCATGGTTTTATTAGTTAACTGCTTATTGGGCTTTCGAGTGAAATTTCATTGTGTTGTGGTTTCTCGTTGGTATTTAAATCGATTTGATTGGCTACATCAGATGAGTTCAAAATGATCAGCCAATCAAAACCTTCTAAATGAAATTGAACCAATCAAATCGATTGTGGATCGGTTTGGTCGGCGCGATTAATTCGATTGCACCAAACCCTCCCCAAATTTGTATCAAATCGACAATATGGAAATATATCTATTCATTGATATTTTGATGATATAACGATATCATAAATATATATGCATGTGTCCCAAATGTGTATGTGTAGTGGCGGGCGTGATGGAAAAGCTCATGTTCAACCGAAGCTGCAACCTCCATGGCACGTTGGACGGGCTCAAAGTCAAGGGGTACCAGTCGTGGGACTGTGTGCTGGGCAATACGATTGGTCTGTTGATTTTGGTGGCGGTGCTGTCGTTGGCGTCAGCGATTTGGCTATCGAAACATTCCCCCAGTGTAAGTGAAGATCGTACAAGCGACCACGACTCGGACTCTGACGACCGCGACGAGACCAAACCCTTACTGAAAGATACTGCATTGAAGGACGACAGCAAGCACAACTAACTAGCCACGCCGCACGTCTTGGCCAAACACTGAGCTGAGCGGGTCATCGTCTTCTTCAACCACGTGGACGTTGTTGGCGTCGGTGGAATCGGGGTTGGCCTAGAAGACAACCGTGTCATTGGATCCATATATATATATATATATAATAAGTATATCGTGTCAAGGAGCAAAGGGGGTTGTGTTTGGTTATCTCACTTGATTGGCATGGATGATGATGGGGCTATTGGTGTGAGGCAAATGCATGCAGCCGCCCGTTTTCGGCGACTGCGGCTTGACAATCTTGCGATTCGAGCTTCGCTTCAACGCCATCAAGCTGAGCGGTTCCACTGGCACGACTCCCGAGAACGACGCCGCTTTGAACAGCGAATGCTGGGTCGTGCCACCGTCGGCTGGCAACGTGATGTGACTGGGGGTGAAAGAAGTGGTCGCCGTGAAGAGGGGCTGCTGGTTGTTGTCTCGTTTGGTCGTCGGTGCACTGCGTTGCCATATCATTTTGTAATACTCGACTTCTTTCAACAGGTTTTGCTGCCGCTCCTAGGTTAAACGACGTGAGACTGAATGAATACATCATATACTCGTGTACTTATATTAACGTTATTATTGAATCGATATGGATGGATATCGGACGACGTACTTGGCTCAACCGAACTTGCTCTTTGTACAAGGCTTGGTATTCCCCGATCGTTCGCTGCAAACTGGCCGTGTTGTCGTCGGTTTTGGCCACAGCTTCTTGCATCGCCTACAAAGTCCAGTCGTCGCAAAGATATATATATATATTCACTATATATATATATATATATATTCACTTTCAAACGAGATGGTCGAGCGGCGAAGATGGTGGACATACCTGACACTTGGCCTGAAGTTCCTTGATCGTGATGGCATGGTGGTGAGCTTCCAACTAGTTACAGTAGTACATTTTGGGTTTCCATCCTATGTAGACTTGACCAAGTACAAAGGTACCCGAAGGCGTTCGTTGTCGAGCTTGAGCTGCGTCAGTTGGTGCACAATCTCATACGGTTCGTGGTCGAGAATCGACTTGGTGTATTCTGTCACGAAATGCACGTGCATTTTCATCTCGACGAGTTTGCGTGTCAGCGTGTCGACAAGGGCACTACTGGGTACATAATCATTGGATATGGCCGCCATATTGGGCGCCTCTGGAAGATGGCCAACCGTCTACCCACAACGTACACACACACCACATACGTGAATAATCAACGCAGCCGTCGTTACAAACTTAGCCACCACCACGACACCAATATCATCATCCCTAGTACAAAGGCACTCACAACAACGTCCGTGGGCGCCAAGTTCGCGCGCGCAGTGTCGACGGCTTCCAGCTCGAGGTTGCGGTCGCTCAACACGGTGTTCTGGGCGCTGATTGTGCGGTTGATTTCCTTGAGCGCGTCCAGTGCGCTTTCCAACTCGGCCGTGCGCGTGTTACAGGCCTCGTTTTGGGCACTCAGCACGTGATTCATTTCTCGCATTGCGTCCACTTCAAACCGACACATTTGCAGCTACAGACGCCGTGGTGGTTCATCAGGTATTCAGACACAGCCAACAAGGGAATACGAAGCAAATTCATGTCATTCAATCGAGTACGTACGTCCTCTTGCAGTTGGCTCAGTTGCGCCACGAGGTCGGCATGGCCAAGTGGTGGTGCTGGGTCTGTTCGTGTCGCCGTTTGGTCTGCAAACAGCAGCGACGTCAACGCTACATCCACACAAAAACCAAGTTATTCGAACGTATTTGTGTGGAAAGGACAAAGGAAAGGACGGTCGTACTTCGTGCCAGGGTTGAAGGGGGTGGTGCTGTCGAGGGTGGTGGTGGCGCCAACGGCGGTGTTTGCGATGCTTGGTGCTGCACCGAGATTTCGACCACAGCACAAAGTGGTGGTGGAGGTTCTAATGCTGCTTGATGAGGATTAGCGTCAGCTTGAAGGCAAGGGTCGTCGTCCTCTACATGAAAACAACTTGAACCCTGAGCATTCTCCAGTGTCGCAGAGTGTACTGTACCTGGTGATAGTAGATGAGTCATTATGGGTTCCGGCGGCCGCGTCGACGAGTTGGCCGTTGCCTGGATCAACTCTTGCAATTGCTGCTGTGTTTTGGCGTGTTCGAGGACGAGGTGTTGGTACAGCTACCAAGTAGCCCACATAAATATATATATATTGTCGATTTGATACAAATTTGGGGAGGGGATGCAATCGAATCGCGCCGACCAAATCGATCCACATTCGATCTGATTGGTTGACTTTCATTGAGAAGGTTTTGATTGGTTAATAATTTTGAGCTCAATTGAAGTAGCCAATCAAATCGATTTAAATTCCAACGAGAAACCACGCCACAATACGAAAATTCACTCGAAAGCACAATACATATATATATATATATATATATATATATATATATGGCATATGATCGTTTGGTTGTTGCTACAGTAGCTCGGACGACAACATACTTGCTGGTAGTCGCACATGGACGCATCTTGGACCTGTACGATGTTATGACCAACATGCGATGATGTGGCGGATATGTGACACTGTACCTCGTGGAGCGTGGGGTCGTTTTTGATTTCCTTGGCGCGCGTGCCAAACCGCACTGTCGAGATGGTCTCGGCCACGTTCTACGCCATATTGTATCCCATCATCCATATAGTATCGACAAGACCATTAATAGTGTGAGTACAACCAAACCAACCACAGTGTCGCAGAATACGCACGTAGTAGTACGTACGTACGAACTGGACGACACGGTCACGATCAAGCACGTTTTGGCATGCCCCCCCAGCGAGTCTTGCAGTATCCGCGTGAGCTTGGAATCGCGAAACGGAATGTGCTTGTGGCCGTCCCCAAGCGCTTTGATGACGTTGCTCAGGGCCGACAACGACTTGTTGATCGCCTTGGCTTCGTTGAGCGTTTTGCCCGACGCGAGTGTCTTCATGACCATTTCTGACCCGGCCAAGTCGACCACGTACATGGTCGCGCGCTTCTCCGTCGCCGCCGCCACGTCTCGCTGCACCATATTGACCACCAACACCGTGTGGCTTCGGCTCGAGTCCTGCAATCACATTCAACATCGAACTAGGTTACAAGTTGCACTTCGCATGAAGCATTGTGGGCGATGTGTGTACGTTGTTCATGCGCGTGCAAGCCACGACTCGGTTGGTGTTGCCTCGCTCCACGAGTTTGAGCATCGACTCCTACACACAGGTCAGGGAGATTGAAGATGCTCGAATGGAAGGATATGCGACGGGGGTACCTCAGTTGGTGTACGCACAGAGAGCAAGTCGTCCACGTACACGCCTTTGTCAGTGTTTTCACGCACGCGGAGGTTCTTGTTGGCTGGCTGTAAAAGGTCGTTGATTTGTTCCATGTATATCTCAATGAACGAGCCAGAGATCTCAAACACTAGTTGGTCCGACTGCCGCCGTCGGATGTGGTCGTACAGGTCGTGCACGAGTCGACCGATCAACCCTTGCTACATTCCCAAAAGAGATAGACCGTTGGTACGCTCAAAGGCATTCAAGATGGTCCGGTTTACATCGTCGGGTTTGGTGGCGACGCCATCTTTGGGTCCGTAGATGGTGTGGGTCTTTCCCGACCCCGTTTGTCCGTACGCAAACACCGTGCTAATGCAACAACGTCATGATGTCACCAATTCCATGGGGCAAAGTCTACCAATTGTATCCGTTTAGCAGGTCCAAGACGAGGGGCTTTGCTGTCGCTTCGTATACTTCTTTCTGGGTGGCATGTGCGTCAAACACCTGGTCGAACGTGCATCTACAAGAAGCGCGTGTCATCACGCACATTATCCCGACAATCACACCGCGGAGTGCCATACTTGAGATAGTCGTTTGCAAACCCTTCGTCGTTGCTGATCTCCATGGCTTTGCCGTCGGTGATTTTGACGCTACACACGCATACACACGACTCCATGAGCGTCCCCTCACCCTTCACGCATGCGTCCATCTCCGTGTCATCTGTACCATTCCTGCCCCCCATGCTTCCGTTCCACGCTGTTCTGAGGCCGCACCCGACATGACACGTGGATGTGACTCATCCAACCGTAATGCAAGACTGTCGAAGAATGCCGCTAAAATTTGCTCAACCGCATCAGCGACGGTTTCGTCTGGTTATTAAAACCAGCCAATCAAATCGCACCAAAGTCTGATTTAAAATTTACGCGCGCAATTCATTCGAAATTTTCCCCGCTTTCTCACACGGCCTCAAGAAGTTGCGCCTTTATGACGACGAAAGGATGGCGGCGACGTGTCTAGCTCGATGGAGCGGCGCTAATCATGTTGCTTAGGGCTGTGGATCCAAGTGCGGAGCGATCACTGCCAACCACATGCTGTTGGCGTCCAAACGGCCTCGGAAGATGCTCGGACCGATCAACTGACTCAGCTGCTTGGTGCATTCGACGGCGGCAAACTTGGCCAACCGATGTGTTCCTACACGACAACATGACTGGGGATGGTCATGCAGGTACCGACGGTGTACCCTGCAGCGTCAATGCCAACGGATCGAAGAACAGTTCAATATGTCGCTTGAACACTTGCTTGCCCAGCGACGCTCCGATGACTGGCAATTGCTTCCACAACGTTTCCTGCAAGATGGAAGTTTGGGGGAAATGGCGCAAAATCGACGCGTCCACGAGGGCGGGGAAGAGTGCAATCGCGTCGGCTTGGGCCTCTTTAGTCGCACACATCTCCCGAACCAAATAGATCGCGCCATCGGTGTGGGACCACAAAGCATGGCCAGCAGCGGGGTCATGATCGTGGCATAAATCATGATCCGTCGCCCGTTTCAGCTGGCGCGGTTCAAACGAGCAGCACGAGAACCGCTGCTTGGTGCTGTGTGCGACCTCCGACTTGACTAGCGCGTCGTACGCAGCTTGGCTCATCGCAGGTTGGTCCTTGGCTTTGCCGAGAAACGTGGCAGCCAACTCGACAATTTGTTTGCGCAGCGCTTCGTCTGTTGGGTACGCGCGCAAGACACTTCCTAGCGCCACCGCGGCATCTTCGCGCACGCTCCACACGTCGTCCGACAAGTGCACGGTCCACCACTTCAACTACAATGTCCAAACCCTGTAAGCACATAGATGAGAAAATGGCAAATCAAACGTACCAAGGCCGGCAACGAAGCACGGCATTCTGTCGGAAATGCCAAAACAACTTGGGAGGACGCGGCACACGCGGCGTCGCTGACTGTAAACACATCGTCCTGCAGGCATATCCGCGCGGCGCGAAGCAAGTCGAGCACATGCGGTTGAACCTACAAAGTGATTGAGGCATTTTGGTCCAGGAGCATGGAAGGTATGGATGTTACCGCCGCGGCGTCGACTCGGGCAACGAGCTCGCCAATGCAAATGCATGCCGCTTCACGGACAAACGGGTTGTCGGCGTCCGTGGCGTCCACGTAGCATTGCACGCATTCGGCGGTGAATTGCGCGACAACATGGCGACCAGTCTCGCCCATGACCTTGGCCCACGTGTCGCGCGAGTACGCTTTGACGCCGTCGGCAACATAATGCCGATTCAAACACATGCGCGGTACGAGTTTGGCGTAGAAGAGCGGGCGTTCGTCGTGGACGTCACAGAGCAGGAGAAACGAACGTGTGGCTTGGGATGCCGTGAGGCGCACTTCGCTCCATGGATCCTGGAGGCCGCGGACCAAGCAATCGGCGATCGCATGGCCGAGCGATGGATGGGCCATGATGTATCGCGGCGGAAGCACAGACTTGTGAAGGACATGGAGCGTTTCAAACCCGACGTTGCGTACGTGTCGGTTGCCGTGCTTGACGCTGCGAACGACGATCGAATGGAAGAAAGCAAAGTCGTCGGCTTCGAGCGCCGCTAAAAACGCAGGACCGAGGCCTTGGACCAACGACTTAAACGTAAGCAGTGTCGTTTCGAGGCTCTTGAACCCGGAAATGTCGTCCAGGCGGTGTGGCGACGTGGGCGTGGACAAGGGCGACGCGAGTGGGATGGACGTGTCGAAGTACGAGAAATACTCTTCCTCGTTGACTTCCTCGAATTCGGGCGAGCGCGTAATGTTGCATTCGATGATGTCCATCAATTCTTCGCGGAATGCATCATACACTCCGGCACCGCGAACTGCACTAAGCGCACCGAGAGCTTTGCCCACGAGTCGACGGACACGGGGTTCCAAGTGCTCCAGATTGGCATGGCATCGATCCACCACGAGTTCCCACGTGTCGGAGTGAGCATCCAACGTCAAGGCATGGGCACTCGCGATAAGGAATCCTACAGCCAGCACATCCCATCTCGGAGGATCCAGCGTTCCGAGGAAGCGAGGAATCATCGATACAAACACATCCGAGCTAGGTTTCTGCATGAGAGTTTCAGCCGCCTCGATGATGGACGCCGGAAGGTTTTCGCGGCGAAGCAAACTGCGCAGCGCACTCTCCACGTTGGACAGCTCCATGTTACTTTTCGAAATATGGAAGTGGCCGACGCTTTTTTCTGCGATGAATGTGCTAGAAATATTCGCATCATTTTAGCCAATCCAATTCGCGCATCAATGAAGGGGTCCAAACCACCACTCGACACAAATCGAATTTTACACGAAAATGCTACACCGCGCCACGTCCATCGTCGCTCGCCGCGTCCTGCTGGCTCCCATGCCTTCTGCGCGTTGCATGAGCGCCTACGCACCCAACATCGAAGACATCAAGAAGCTGCGATCGGCGTCCCAAGCACCGATGGGCGACGTGAAGAAAGCGCTCGTGGCGTCGGAGGGCGACTTTGACGCGGCCTACGAATGGTTGCGCAAAAAAGGCATCGCGACGGCCACGAAGAAGGCTGGCCGCGTGGCCGCCGAAGGTCTCGTGGGTCTGTTCGTGGATTCGGACAAGAAGCGCGGCGCGATCGTCGAAATGAACAGCGAGACGGACTTTGTCGCGCGCAACGAGCAGTTCCAAGCGCTGCTCGCCGACATCACGCGCACCGTCCATGCTGACTCTGCGTTCATTGGCAACTACGACACCGCGGCGCTCAATGTCCTCTCGTTGAACGACCGCAACGTCGGCGACTTCATCCCCGAACTCATTGGCCGTGTGGGCGAAAACCTCGTGCTGCAACGCGCGACCACGGTCGCCGTCACCCGCGGCGTCGTGGCGCAATACGTCCATCGCGTCGCCTCTGCGAGCCTGAACCTTGGCCAAGCAGGTGCGTTGGTGGGTCTGGAAGTGTCCAAGGAACTATCCGAGGCTGAGCGCGTCGAGTTGGAAGCCGTGGGCAAGAAGCTCGCCATGCACATCGTGGCGGCCAAGCCTCGCTTCCTCAACCGCGAGTCCGTCCCGGCCGACCGCGTCGCGGCGGAGCGCGCATTTGTGCTGGAACAGGTGGCCGAGCAAGCCAAGTCCAAGCCCGCGAACGTCGTCGAGAAGATGGTGGACGGTCGCATGAACAAGTTCTTTGGCGAAGTGACGTTGATCGACCAGCAGCATTTGGTCGAAGAAGGGTCGCCCAAGGTGTCTGTTGTGCTGGACAAAGCCGCGGCCAAGCTCGGCACGACCATTTCGCTCACGGCGTTCCAGCGCTACGAAATCGGTGAAGAGCAACTATAGACACACAATATATCCTTGACAACAAAACCAAACGATAGATATGCTACATGTACAGTATATTGTCTTTCTTTTACCCCAAATTTGGACTTTTGGGCTGACTCGCCAAATCTATTTACAGTTAATGTATGTATGTACAGTATCGATCGATTATTCATACTGAATTTTGTATGTAAAAAGGTGTGCTGTGGTGATGGGTATCACACTAATTGAAATCATACACTAATTTGACATTGATCACGGTGGCCTGCAACCTGATTGGCTAAATCATTGTGCCGATTCTCCTGTCCATTTGGTTGTGTCGTCATGTCGCGCTCCAGTTTAGAATAAACACAAAAACAATATTTTATCCCTCAACACGGGCACTTTATATAGTGTGCGTGCTGCTCCACACGTGAAAACAAAACGGGACTTAACGTTAGGTTAACGTTAGGGTGAAAAATACTGACTGTAGATCAGAGCGATCACTGCGACAAGCACCACCGACGCAATGCCAGCGGTCTGTAGCGCGGCAGTTGAAGGCGATGACGTGGCAGAAGGAGCGTCGAGGGGGGCAGTCGTCGTCGTGTTGGCCTTGCCCAGTTTCGCATACAGTTGCTTATCCTTGACCTTTTGCGCCTCCCGCTTTTCCTTGACGAGAGGCACGAGTTCGCGGATGGCTTTGTTGGTCGGGTCGATCTCCAATGCTTCTCGGATATAACTCGTCGCTTCGCTGCATTCCCCTTGTTGGTAGGCCATTTGTGCCAGTCTATACCATGCCTGCAAGCAAACAACATCATGTGGTTGGTCATATTCCAGGTTTTCTACATGTATATATATATATTTGTTGTGTTCTGCCATCTAATTCATATATATATATGTATCATGGGATTCAAAAAGCAAACGTGCCAAATGCAAAATATAGGGGCCTAACTATTTAGCCAATCATCAGCCAGGAGAAAAGTTGAAAAAATCCACACGTAATTAGTGTGTGACGACAAAAAATAGTGTTATCGAGTCCAAATCTTGGTGTAGTAATAAGTACCTTCATGTTTTTGGCATCAACTTGCAGCACTTCGCGGCACGAGTCCTTGGCTTCCTTGTACTTGCCCAGTTTGCACTGGACATTGGCGACGTTGTTGCCGAGCGCGACCACGAGCTGCTTGCAGCTTTCGTTCTGGGCAAAGTCTTCGTCCGTGTTCCACTTTTCGAGCACTTTGAGCGCTTTCTTGTAGCAGTTGATCGCGTACGAGTAGTTTTTGTCGTTGAACCATCGGTTCCCACTCTGCTTTTTCTTGTTCGCTTCGACAATCAGCTCGTCGTTGGTCATTTCGTCGGGCATCTTTCGCTCCGACACCCACGCGTCAAGCGTAATGATGAATTTGATGGACGATTGCGACAACTGGTCGTCGTCGGCCTACATCATGTAGCGTCAACACGACACGTCATATGGAGCATATCACCTCGACTTCGCCGCCAACGTTGCCATATGCAAATCGAGACTCGCAATGCACTTGCACCACTTCGCCCACACGCATCACACGCCCCATGAGCTCCAGCACTAACGATGTAGAAAGCGGTTGTGAGCACGCGTCCAACTAGGAGGACAAGGACAAAGTTGTACCAGCAAAGGTCTCGTTGTCGCCAATGCGAAATGACACCTGGGTGTCGTCCGAGATCTTGGCATCCGTTTCCAAGTCGTAGCTTCTGTATGTCATGGTCACTTCATCCCCAAATTCTATCCATGCCAAGGGATGGTTAGTCTTGTGTCGAAGACACTTCAACATCCACGGATGGAATGGTCGAACTCCCGCTGTGTCCGCATTTCGGCGGCGTTTGTCGCTTTACTTGCGCGTACCTGCTTTCTTGCCATCGCTGTACTTGAGGGTCTTCTTCCGAATTGCGCCGGTTCCCAGCACATCTTCAAACCCTTCCTCGACCATGTGCGTCTGTCTCCGTTGGAATTTTGCAATTGTTGTGGATGTAATGATTTTAACCAATCAAATACACTTATATCCTTTATAGCCAATCATTTCATGTTATCTTTACCTTTTATATTTTCTTATTGAACCCAAGTGTATTTTGAATAATTCCATTTCTCCTTGTCAGTTGAAGTAGGCACTGCTCAAATAAGTACGAAAGCGTACGTTTAATAGCCGAATTCGAGCCAATCACCGATGTGAATGGGTTGTAATATCGATTTTCATGGTTCATATATAGAGTGTCAAAGGTAATTTTATACCTAACGAATGTAACGACCAACAGAACCATGAGTTCATAAGAACACAAAGGCGAAGTTGCAAACTCCGCTCCCCAGACAATCCGCACGTCCGCCCGCTGATTGCCGCCGCTGCATCCATCGTTCGCGCGCCTACTCCCTGCAATACCCGCGAGCTCAGATCGGTATTGCCCATTGCCTCGTTGCATCCCGTCACGCCAAACACCCTCCAGCATCTCCAATTGATCGAGGTATCGTAAATCGTTGTCGTCCACAGCTCGCGCTCTCAGTGTGACTAATCCGCGCCAAGTGTAGCCTCCTCATGACGTCTGTGGATATGCCAATGACGTCCATGTCGGACAAATCACTCTCGTACCACGGGAGATCCGAGGACACTCAGACAGACGGTGGAAAATCGAAACATGCCAAGTCGGACAAACTGGCCAAACACGACCGGTCCCCCGTACATGCCAAGAAAGTGATGTATCCCCCTCGACTCCTTGTGGACTTTAACTCCCTCCACGTGCGTCATGCATTACCTCCACACACGAACCTCATGTGGCTGTAGATCGAAGCACTCAACAAGTACGTTGCGTTTTACCAGATCCCTGTCCGTGAAGAGTGCACGAAGGACGAACTCGCTGCACTTGTCGCAAGGTACCGCCGCCTCCATCTTCCCATTATCTTATGCCGTCTGTTGTAGGCACTTTGATGGGTCGCTTGAAGTCGAAGAAGACGAATCGATCCTGTCGTTTGTGACGCGAGTACGGAACGGAGAAAAGACGACTCGGGTCCGTCCTCCCGTGCCGAAGCCCGCATCATCGCTCAAGAAAACTGCTCGAGGCAACGATGAAACGAAAGCCGCCGCTGTGTCGGCCTCGACAACAGCGACGTCCACCACGACTGGCAAGCGCGGCCGAGAAGACGATGACCCCGACAACGATGACCACGCCGACGCGTCCGTGGCCGTGCCCCCCCCTCCGTCCAAGAAACCATTGAAGGGGAAACCCAAGGAAAAGTCGTCGAACGACAGCAAGAGCAAGAAGAACGACGACAACGAGCTCTACTGCGTGTGCAACCTGCCAGGATACGGCGCCATGATTGCATGCGACGGCGAGCAATGTCCGAACCCGAGTCAGTGGTATCATTTGGAATGTGTCGGGTTCTCCGACGGCCAACACCCGGACACGTGGTTCTGTCCTGAATGCGACCCCAAGGCGTTTGCCGCCGTCCAGAAGAAGAAGAAGAAGTCCAACCGCAGCGGTGGAGGCTCGGGCGACGACAAGTCGTCCAAAGGCTCGTCCAGTGGCTCGGGGTTGCGGCGGTAGATACAGCCATCCATCCGTTCTTGCGTCGTTAAGTGGTCCTCCACGGCAGAACAATCATGTGAAAAACAACATGGAGAGATTTTTAAAGAATAATTGGTTCATTTGATTGTGAATAAATGAATGATCTATTAGGCAGCTTGATTCATTCACTTGTTATAATATAAATGAATGATCTATTGAGAGAAATCGATGGTTCATCCTTGAGTTGATCCTTGAGTTGATCATGAGGATGGGAGGTTCAACGCGTGATGGAGGAACACGATTTCGTCGGCGGCCGCTTCGAGTTGGTCCAGGCGGCCGAGGCCGTTGAAATGGCCGCCGTCGTCGCTCACTTTACACCACAACACGAGGTCGGGGGACTTTGGCTTTAGTTGCCGAAAGTGCCGCACCCACCGAAGTGGTTCCCAATAATTCACGCGCATGTCGTTGAGTGCCGTGGTGACGAGCATGGCAGGGTACTGCGCGTGGTCGGAGCGAAGGTTGTCGATAGGCGAGTACGACTGGATGTAGGCTCGCACGGCGGCGTCCGCGGTGGGATTCCCCCACTCGTCGTATTCATGGACTGTGAGAGGCAGCGACGGGTCCTGCATCGTCGTAGCAATGTCCAGAAACGGCACGTTCAACACCACTGCCGCCACCAGGTGCGGGTACTCGTTGGCCACGACCCTACATATACATCATAACGTTAACATTTCACCAGCATTCGGCATCTTACCCGACAAGGAGACCACCGGCCGACGTGCCTTTGGCCGCAAGCAGTCGACGTGTGGTGATGCCAGTGGCCACGAGGTGCCGACAACACGCGGCAAAGTCCACAAACGAGTTCTTCTTCAGCATTCCGTGTCCTTGAGCATGCCAGTCCAGCCCTAGTTCGCCGCCGCCCCGCACATGCGCATACGCCAACACCCATCCACGCTGCAACATCGACAGCGCTTCCATGTCGAAGCCCGTGTCGAGATTCATGCCGTACGCCCCGTACCCCACGACAAGCGTCGGGTTGGAACCGTCCAGTTTCATGTCCTTGCGGTGGACAAGCGTCATGGGCACCGACACCACCGCCGCCGCATCATCGTCCGTCGAGGCGACGTGCACGCGGCGGCAAGTAAACTCGTCGGCGTCAAAGTTTACGGCCGCGTCTTGGTTGAGCACGTCCAGTTGTCCTAACAACGGCGGCGACATCCATCGTCGTCAGTGGGTTAAATAAGCAAGGGATGATGGAATCGATAAGTCGTGATGTACGTACGTCTATGCAAGTCATATTGGTAGACGATTTCCGGGACCAGCGGCGTGGACAAGGAGAAGCGGACGACGTTGTCGTAAAAGCCTCGGTTTGGACACGGATGGAGCACGCAACAAGCATGCTGGGGAGGAAGCGGCAGCATGTACGAGTCCTGCGGCGACTGCAGCGGCACGATGCGGACGCGGGGAAGGCCGGCGGCGGCTCGTTCGTACAGCACGACAAAGTCTTGGAATAGATCCATTTCATCAATCTTGGCCGACGGGCCTATGTACGTACGTACGTCGATGACATTAACCATAGTTTCCGCATTGCATGATGAGTGAATGTACTCAGGAACGAACTACTATAGTAGGAAGGTAGGTACCTACCACTGTGGGAGCTGGACGGTGGCATCAAGTCCATCCAGTGGCCACGCTGTGAGTCCATCATAACCACAAGTTTGTAGTTTCCGGCCTAGAGTGCATTGAAAATATATTATGTTGAGATGGGGACATTTAGAAATGAACTGTCATCGATCTATTATTGTCCAATCCAGTCGAAACTCGAGCCGTCACCAGTATCAAATGTCTTCTTCACAGAATACATTAAAGGACCGCCTAAGCCAATCAAATCACGTTCTGTCGAATTTCTGCCAATCCTCAGCAAATCAGGTATATACTACATGTTGTATGGCATAGTTTGTACAAACTTCAATTTGATTACGAATCAAAAGTCCACATTCATTCGTACGTGGTTGTCGTTGGTGACAATGTAAAAGGCATCGGTGGCGTGGTCGGCAAAGTACAAGACGTCGGGGTCGCGAGGACGGAGCAGTAGCGGCACCGCGGCGGCGTCCGTCGCGTCCAACGTGTGCACTTCCGACGACCGCTTCGAGTTTGCATTGATGAGGACGTACTGGTTGTCCTTGGTGAGCACCACGTCCACATACACGCTCGGGTCGCGCTCTTCAAATACCTGCAGCCAACCACAATCAAAACATACATCAAGGTTGGACGGGTAGAAATCTTGTTAACTGCAAGTCGATTTGAAATTGGAGTGGACCAAATATCCTCAGACAATGTCGACCAATCAAAACCAGAACGCGAATCAATTATTAGCCAATCAAATTCGCGCTTCGACCAAGTCCACATCGAATTGGTGTGTGCCTTCAATTAGTGTGACATTGGACGATTTTTGCATACGCCCTCCAAATCAGCTTTGGTCTTATGAAGAACTACAACATCGAGCACACAAACCACGTACGAGGACATCGTCGGCAATGGCGCCGGTGGGGCGATGGCGAAACACGCGGCTCGGACGGTGCATGGCGTCGGGCACGGTGTAGTATAGAGACCCGACGGTGTCCCATTCGATGCTGCGGACATGCTGACGTAGCTTGGTGGTGCGGGACGTCCGCAGGTCCTTCACGTACGCGTCGTAGAGCTCGTCGCCCGACTGGTCCATCGTGTAGGCAAGGAAGTGGCCGTCCGGCGATACTTTAAAGACGCCGATCTGGCCAAACGCGTCCATATCGTTCGGATTCAGCAGCACTTGCTCCGACTTTGTGTCGATGTGCTGTCGGCAGTATATGGGAAAATTGAGCCGAGGAAGGGTCTTCAAGTAGTATGCGTACATCCCAATGGTTTCGGGAATCGAATGGTCCGCCTCGTCCAACTTGAGCCGTTGCCGCATTTCCGTGTACAGCGCACGCTGGAACTTGCGGTACGGTTTGCTTTCCCGCCGCCAATGTGCATGTTCACCCTGGGATGGACTAGTATGTAGGTGGAAACGTCGTCACTTGAGCTTACCTCAAGGAACTTTTGAAGCTTTGGGTGCGATGGGTTAAGCAGCCAGTCCGACGACTTTGACGAGAATGAGCGAAACCATTGCGTGTTCTTTGGAAGCAGCATACGGTTCCATGATGCACTTCCGACCCGGCATAATACCGCTGGCCATGGCGCCATGATGAACACTCAAAAACAAGTTTATCCGGAATTTCGTTATCCAGAGCATTATCCGGATTATTATCCGGAACTCGACAAACAGTACTTTTACGCGCGCAGTTTCAAAATCGCGGTGAGGAGCTATCAAAGACGGATGGGATCATGCGTCATCGAATGGATAGCACCGGCAACTTAAGGAGATGGCTGGCAGACTTGGTGTGGCCGGAGAGCGGGATGGCCCGACGCTCCCTCCGCAACTCCTTCAACGCATCTTTGGACGACGGCTTGGCTACTTTTTCGGGGTTGCGAGGACGAAACAACTTGCGTTTCGCGTCCTCGAACGACGCCGCAGCAGTTGTGGTTGCAGTGATTATAGGAACAGGGGACTTGCTCTTGTCGTCTGGGCATTCTGGTGTGAACCAGCTTTGGATTTCGTGCATGTTGTCGACGTGGATCAAGTTTCCTCGAAGCTCCACAACGCACCCGCAGTCCATCGTCTTCAAAAAGGCCGCAAGAGCTCCCATGATATCGTTTTTGACGTTGTTGTTCAGCAGCATCAACGTTGTTACTGTGCTCGTCTCCATGGCGCGAAAAAGCGTTTTGGCCCCAACAGTGCCGACTCCGTTGTCGCTCAAGTCGAGAGTGTGCAGTGTCCGCGAGTTTCGAAACCCTGCAGCCAGTGCCGCGGCACCTGCGTCATGGATACGATTGCCGTGCAGGTCGAGGGTGTGCAGCACCGTGTTGATCGACAGCGCTTGGCCAAACGCTTCGCACGCGGCATCGGTCATCCCCACTCGTGCCAGCACGAGACGCTCCAAGTGCCCATACCTGTACGTTGTCACGATTCCAAAGCAGTCCATGCAAGAGGATACACACCGGCCAAAAAAGTAATCGCCCACGGCTTGGGCAATATGCATCGCGCCAACGTCGGTCAAGTCGTTGTCTTCGACAATCAAATGGCGCAGTTGAAAATGCGCCGTTTGCAAACACGTCGACAGGTCTCTACAATGCTCGTCATATGGACCACACATTTCCATATCCAAGCTGGAGTGTCGTATTGGATGGTTGATAGTACGGTAGAACCAAGTCAAAGTGGCATGATGGTATTTGTACAAGTGCCTGCCTACCTGCATGGCATGCATCCCGGGCTGTCTGCGACAATGTCGTTGCGACCAATGGCTAGGACGCGAAGATGCTTGAGATGGTTTCCCCGCAACGCTTCGACCAAGGCACTCATCCCAGCCCCCCTGACCAGACAGTCATTCCCCATGGTTTCGACATTTCATACATGACACGACTGCCACCGCCGACGAGCACCGTGTCCACAGAAGCCCCTCCGCCTTGACTCAACACTGCCGACAGAGCTGACCACGTCGAAGGCAGAGGTGGCGTGTGGAATTGCAGCACGAGCGTGGTTTGCTTTCGACGAACCATATCATTCAGCGTACTGGTCATATGACCCACATCAGTGGGCTCGGACACCAATGCCACCGTCCCCCGTGACGTTATCAGTGCGTCCTGACCACAAATATTGTTGCATCGCCTCATGTGTTTGAACACTGGCAACGACATACGTGAATCATGCGGTGTAGAATCGACGGCATCGGCGGCATGCGGACACGTCGAAGGCCACGGAGGCACAACCGGTCCTTCCGACCTCGGAACAACGCTTGGATGCGTCTTGCGTAAAAGTCCAAGTCTTGCTCGTCGTGCATCCTAGTTCGTCATCCACACAAGTTGGCCCATCCCCTCCCCTCAAGTGGGAAATGCAATTTGATGCATCCTCGAAATGTGCAAAGTCTCGAGAATGCTATATTGTCATGGCATATTCGACGTACAAAGCATCGTGGCCTCGCAAGAGCCGCTCCAGTAAAAACGATGCCTACACAATGCAATACATCCCCGTCGTCGTGAAAACCCTCACACTTGTCCAACCAGGTCAAGCGCACGTTTCTGCTTACTTCATTGATCGGGTCGTCTTGCATCCACGCGGCCCGCCGCCGCCGCCACCACGTCTGTATCTTTCTGCACTTTTCACGGCGGAGCTTGGCGCGCGCGTCGTCACGCTTTCGTTTGGCCTGCCGACGCGTACACGAAATTAGCCAGCCAGTTAGTTCACCTCTGCGAGACAAAGCGACGACTGGCGTACCTGACGCTGCAAGAACTGAACGACCAGTGATTTTTTCCGGCGATACAACCGCTGCAAATTCACCGCCAGCCGCTCCTTCTTGTGCCGTAGAATATGGCGTGTGTGCAGCAACGCGTTGCTTCGAATCGTGCGGAATCGGCGCTGGATCATGCATGCCGCGTCGTGCACCCGCAATTGTTCCGTACGACGGGCCTTGTCGGCTGCAAGAAGACGTTGATACTGCACACGCGTCCGGTGACCTCGTTCCAGTGTCTAGTACGCAAAAGCAACAAAGCCAATGTCAAAATTTCGCCATCAAAATCTCCTACTGGTCGTCTCAACAAGGCATACTTGAATGCGTACGGCGGCGTCCCGCTGGCGTTCAAATAGCGCGTGAAACGTCGGTGACAACGACTCGAGTTCGTCACGAAGCAAACGATCGTACGGTGCCAACGTCCACCGTGAAGTCTATACAGCCAAAACACATGAAAAAACAAAGCCCTTTTTCCGACTGATTTCAACAGGATTTTTGGCAAGTGTGAAGTCGAGCTGCGTACGATTGCATCGAATCGGCGGCGCCGGTTTGCCGCGTCGGCGTAGAAGATCCGCATGTGCGCCACAAACACTTTGGTACGTTTCTATGGAAAGGTATGGTCACATTGAGTAGGCCACCTCTTGACAAGTCGACGGCGCACGAGGCCAATTAGACATCACACTGGACGTAACCACTGCATAATTCATTTTCCCATTTCCAACACCACAACTTACTTGGATGCGTCGAGCGGCCATGTCTTGTGCAGCAAATAGAGCTGCATACCTACGTACAACGATCTGTCATATAGGAGGACTATATGGATATATTGGTGGTGTACAGTTCTGCTTTGTATTTGACCAGCAGCTTTCGTGCCCGCAGCGACGCATAAGGAGCAGCATTATACTGATCCACTGCGTTTTGAATCACCCATCGTTTGTGTCGTCTGGCGCTGTCACGGCCCCAAACACCTCGACACAAAGCGGCGAGTTTCACTTGACTGGCCACTTGCCCTGTCAACGGAGTGCTACAATCAAAAGCATGAGCACCCCGCCGTGAGTAATCTCCCTTGTCCATCAAAGTCAAAGACGTTCAGCCTCTTTCATGATGTTTCCCCAGACTCTCTCATGTACCTCCATTGCGACGGATACCATTGCAGCAGCATATCCCGCACATCATTGCGATATCGACCAAAGTACAAACTCGTTTCCATGGCGGCCACAGCCGGAATCATGTCGTTGGCCTTGAAAAAGAGCGACCCCAACGTATACCACATGGACGTCTCAGGCTCCCAGCAAAACGTCGTGCGATTCCACGATCGATCGGTCGTTACATCGATGCGTTTGATGCCTTCTTGCGCAGCGTCCACCGCCAACACCACGTCATCTCGGCGGTCAAAGTACTATGTGTTTCCATGTGTAGTGTGAGAAGCAACCGACAAAGGGTTGTATGTACATAATATGGTCACATCATACTATGAAGCATCCATCAACATCCAGTGGCTAATCTCGTTACCAACCATGATAAAAGCCACATAAATCACATAATCCCTAGATGGAGAGATCCCGATAGATTTCGAGTACCTGGACCCATACGTTCCACGTACTGCACTGTCGAAACCAGTCCAACCACCCACACCCGACGATGGGAGTCACAAGCCCAAGTCGCAACCCCACACGATACAGCTCTTCGTATGTTTTGGCAGCGTATTTGACTGTCCGAGGGAGGCCCGCCGCTTCGTGCACGCGTGCCGTGACGTACAACAGTGTCACGTACATGTCCGTCTACATGCGACAGAGTTCAAGCGTGTGAAATATCGAGAGAAATCGATTGTTTGAAGGAGAAATGGCAGATTACCTTGGTCACGTCTTTGTCAATGATAAACTTGCAGTAGTCGCAACATTGCTCGAGCATGTCTTGGCGAGCTTGGGGGTCGGTCGTTTTTGGCTGCTTCTTTTGAAACACAACGCTGTGAAACATCAAGATGGTCGCCCGCAGCACGACGTGGTCGGCATGGGCAAATTGGGGAAACGACTAAAGAGACACGAGTCAGTCAACAGCTCTTGCTTTCTTAACATGTCGACGGTTGGGAACGGTCGTACATAAAGGAGGGTCCGCACGACCCCTAGAGCTGCGTCGAATTCCCCCAAACATTCCAACACATGCGAAAACTCAAACAGCGCGAATGGATTCATTGCCACTTGGACAAACCGAAGGCCGTTCTACAAGGGTCAGTAACGTCATGTGTTCACTCTATTTGGCGCAATAATGGTCATTACGTTCTTTGGCCTACCTCAAAGCAAGACTTGGCGTCCCACAGCAAGCCCCAGTCGTGCGTTTGCTTCCACAACAAAAAGCACGCTCGACCCAGCGTTCGCCACATTTTCGCCGAGTTCGCGCCCAGGTACACTGCTTGGCTGAGTCGTTCGACGGCCTTGGCGTAGTGCTCGAGATGGAATTCGCTGTACCCTTGACGCTCGTAGCTCTTTGGGTCGTACGGGTACCAGTCAATGTACGCTTGATGGTACTGCGATATCACCGACAAGATGGCCCGCGTGAACCGCTCGTGGCTGCGGTTGAGCGCCGATTTGTTCGACTCAAACAGCTTGGCCTCGTCTGCCGGATCGAGCTTTGTCTTGTGCACTACCAGCGCATCGATTGACGTCACGTTTGTCCTCTTGACGGGTTTAGATTTCTTCTTGACGCCGTCGCGCTTTCGTCGCGGCGGAGGCGGCGCCACGCCCATGGCAGAATTTCGAGAGTTACCCAGTACGGCCTCTGATTGGCGCAATGGTGTAACGGTCAAGCAAAACAAACTCTTCGTTTTCAACAAAATGTTATCTTAATAATAACACCGATTAAAATAGTCCTCGTACTACTGTACTCATAATATTTTTCATAATGCGATGGGGGACAAACACATTTTTTATTTTAATGATTACATTCCAAATTCACCGAAAAAATCCACGTCTTTTTTCGTTTCTTTTTTGGGGGCCGGCGCAGCAGTCACGGGGGCTCGAGGCGCCGACGACGCCGCCGCCGCTAATGGTTCCGGCGCTTGGAACGACGTCGATGTCGGCGGCGCAGGAGGGACCGGGAGCTAGATATGACATGGCTTATAAAACGTTTCGAGACAATGCCTCTGTATAAATCGTATTGTCAAGTCGGTTCGAAATTATACAATCGAATGAGCAGCCCCAAATCGATATACGACCAATCAAAACCCAGATCACGAATCAAGTGGCCAATCAAATCCACTCTTCGATGAATTCAATATCGAATTCGTGTGTGACTGAAATGAGTGTGATCAATCAATCGATCGATAGATTTGGCGAAAATCAGCTCACAAAAGCCCAAATTTTGGGTCAAAAGGGCAAACGTACGCTGTCAAACGATGGTGTTCGAGCAGGGGCAGGCCGGTGGAATGTCGACGGAGACGCGCCAATTCCTTCGTACTTGGTGGTTTCAGGCAGGTTTGGGTTTGTGCGCGGGAAGAAGAGCCCCCCGTTGGAGTTGCCCGACGAGGTGGCGGCGTTCGGGTCGACATACGACTGCGCGTTCTTGAGCAACGACGACGTAGTGGACGTCAGGTACGACCAGCTCGACGAGGCCGTGGATTTCACCGAATTCGTGAGCTCCGGGTCTGTCAGCTATGCAGATCCAGCGATTAGCCACACATGCCAACCAGCGATATGTATCTCTCCACCTACTTTGGCTTGTACAGAGTTCCACGACGACGTGACCGTGTTGGCCAGCTCGGGGTTCTTGACCAGGCTGGCCGCGGACGTCGCCGCCGACGTCACGGTGGTGGAGAGCATGCTGAACGCAGACCCCAGAGAACTACGGACAACATGAGGGCACTTGAATATCGCTGTGTTCAAAACAGAAAACGCACCTCGTGACGTCGCCGTAGCCACCCCCGGCACCACCGCCGCTGCTGCTGGACGAAGACGTCGCGCCGCCACTCCCAATGCCTTGCATGCCCCCAGAACCAAACTTGGCGGCCATGCGAGCTCGCGCATCTTCCCGCAGGCGAAGTTGGCTACACGTATCGACCTTGACTCAAAAACACAAGCATGCAAAGTTTGATACCGGGCAACATAATCCTGTTCGGTTTCGCCCTTCAATGCTTCAACGCCGTTCGTGTCGCCGCCACTGGCATTAGCGCCACCGCCGTTCGGCAGCGAAGTTGGATCCCATCGAGGCAGTGGCGCAGGCGTGCTGCCCTCCACCAGCGCATTCAAACTAGTGCGAAGAGTATGAAGGACGTATTTCAACGGAAAGACGAGTGAGGAAGACTACCGGCTACGGAAGGCTTCGGCTTGAGGTGTGTTGTACTTTTGGGCAATGCTCAAGGTCTTGGGAACCCCGGCTTTGTCGAATTCACTTCGAAAATGATCGTTCCCGCCCAACTATAACACAGATGCAAGTATGTTAATCCCCAGCACAACATGGACGGTCGTCATGCGCACTTGGTACCTGCATCAAGCGGATCTGCTTGTCCGTCCACGAGTCCATGGACACAGATCGCACGAAGGACAGGTGCACGCCAAGGCCTCGATGACGGCCAGAGCATTCCAGGCACATGAATGTGCCGTAGGAGACCGTTGCCCACTGCGGGTACGGTGCGTCACAATCCACGCATTTCTACACCAACCGACAACGAATGCTGTCATGCTTCGATATCCGCCTCCATGCGTCAACAAAAAAGATCGTGATAGACGTACGTTGTTGCCAGGGAGCTTGCGCAATTCCTGCTGCACACTCAGGTCCATTTGGTGCGCCATGCCCACAAGACAGTAGTGCGTTCTCGTAGAATATCTGAATATGTGCAACATGACGGTGAAATGTTCCGGATACTTGTTCGAAAAATTCCGGATAATGTCGAAACACCTTGGGTTTGTATTCGATGGGCGTTGGGTGGTAGCGCCCAATCACAGGCAGCAAAGTGGCAACGCTGGCGGCTACAGCATCATGCAGCCGCGGTAAAGGGCTGATAGGGCGAGTCCTTGGAGCACAAAGCAGTGCCATGCTGTGGGCAGTCGACTTCGAAGCAAACTGTGGACACATCTTGGCGGTTTGGTACACATTGTGAGGCACGTACAGCGTTGCTGTAGTACCTGTGTAGGGGAGCGGACTACGATGTACCAGTTACTACAGTCGTGAAGTCTTCGTGAATCAAGGGAACACCAGTTTCGCTTCAGTGAACTCCGATGGGAGTGTAAATCAGTGTGGGGGAAGGTTGCTTTGTGCAGAAGGCGAGACCTACTATAAGGCTCGAGTCATTGGGCATTCACTGGTTCCAGTTAGAATACAAGTGTTGTTGTTTGTGTTCGTTTTATCGCAAACACATCACACATTCAAGCACACAACGCGGGTGTTGGTGAGGACGGCGACGGAGCAAGGGCCGAGAAACTGCAGACCGTAGATGGCTTCGTCGGTCGCGAGTTCATGCAGGTACGACGTGCGCACATGCGGCTTTGGCTGGTGCGCGTCGGGGCGGCCCTTGTACAGGTACACACGCTTTTCAAAGTCGGCCAAGACAGCCAGCGACCCGGATGGATGGAAGCCCATGTACTTCTTGTGTGTCTTTGACGCCTGCACGTACCCGAACGCGGGAAACGTGGATTCGTGGACCAACGACAGCGCCAGGGGCGTCGACTCGACGCGGAACACAAGCCCGTGGACGTCGTACTGGAAGAGCAGGCGGTCAGTGTATCTCGAGCTCGGGCCTAACCCACATAATTTAACATGGAGGACAAACAACGAGCATGAGCATCATCATCGTACGTACGTACCCAACACACTGAACCGGCGGCAATCAATCTCAAACGTGGCTGTGACAACGTTTGCACCGAAATGGAACGCGTAGAGCACGGCAGAGGCGTTCGGGTCGACATCGTCGCATTCTTCGTACCCGCCAAGCATCGAATCGGTCGTGGGAATTTCGAGCGGCGTGTCGGGCGGCAGGGCGGTCGACGGAGGCGGTGCTACGTGCAACGGCATGTCCAAGCTGCTGTACGGCGTCGTGGATGCGAGGAAGCGATCGTGCAGTGGCGTGCCCGTCAAGTCGTCGTGGCTCAACGGGGGCAGCGGCAGGTCGGGGTTTTGGACTTCGCCGGCAAACCCGAGGCCGGCGCGCGGCGCTTTGAAGACAGGGCCGCCGCCTTCGATTTCATGGTGTCGTTTGTGGGATGGGTGGCTCTGCACGGGAACTTTGAGGTCGTGGTCGCCTTCAACGAGGAACACAATGTCCTGATGGCCGTGAAAGTGGGCATACTTGACCGCTTTGCCGCCTTCGTGCACAAGAGTGGGATGGACGTGATGATGTGGCGCATGCAAATCGACTGTAAAGGCGTACACTGTGTGCGTTCCTGTAGCCGCATCCAGAGAACTGACCAGGGCGTGGAGGGATTCGTCGTTTGGAGTCACGTGCGCTTGAAGCAGGGTGAGCGATGTCGAAGGACCCAGAGGTGTCGACGACCACAACACGGACCAATGCCCATGCATGAATCCAAAGATGATGAACTCGCCGGTTCCGTCCGTAATCACTCCCATGTGCGCGGCCACAAAACGGACTGATGTGTTGTCCAAGCGCTTGTCCGCTGGTGTCGACACAAGTTGCGGAAACGTGAGCAGCGTGGTCTGTTGAGCGGCACCCTTTCCTTGTCCAGGGATTTGTACTTGCACAAGGTCGCCGTCACGACTGATGTAGTACAAACTGTCGTCCACGAACGGGTTGCGCGCGAGGCAGTTGTGGTACACGCGGGAGTTCCAGACTTCTTTCGTTGCGGTGGATGGGGCTTCCAGAGGGAGAAGTAGTGGGGCGCGAAGGTTTACGTCCACGGCAGTCTTCCCCTCCAGCGACAGAGCATAGTTCTCAAAGCTATCGTCGACCGCTTCCTTGTTGATCTCCATCGCCAAGTACTATTCAAAATGGTGGAGACAAAAAAATAGCACCATCCTTTTTGGCAAAATATACGTCGAATTGTCAATTCAATTTAGTGCCAATCAGAATTCATCTGGTTGTTCATTGGATAAAATGATTTCTCAACCACACAAGGTAAGCTGACACCATAAGAACTGGCCTCGACCAACTACAGTGTAACTCCACTTTCGAGAAACTCCACCTTTGCTTAACGTTATGCAAAGCAAATGAAGGCGCGCCATGGACTCAGCCATGCTTCGCCCAGGAGAAGTGGCAGCAGATGGGAGATTGGGTGATCCGTTTCATGCGGGTGATTGTGTTGTCGACTGGTGTGGCTCATAACGAAATTTCATTGGTCAGTAATCCACCAATCATCAATCGTTTGAACCAAACAGATACAGCCAAAATCCATTTTACGACATGGAGTTCTGGGGCACGCTGCAGAAGTCCTTGGGTGGCGGCGCGGTACCAGCAGACTCGGATGCGTACGTGAACAAGTTCTTCGACAACACGGCTGTGGAAGAGTCGTGGGCGATCGATGAATGGACTGCCAAGTTGAAGCAGTTTGTCGCGGCGCAGCTCGCCGACGGTCGCCGCGTCGCGCTCGTCACGTGCGGATCTGCGACGGTGCCGTTGTCCGGGGATAGCGTGATGGATGCCGTGTCGTTTGGCGACCGAGGCGCGGCAAGTGCGGAACACTTCCTCCGCGCAGGGTACGCTGTGATTTTCCTCCACCGACACGGGTCATTGGCGCCGTTCTCGCGCCACTTTCAATTGTACATCCGGGACAACCGGTTCTTGTCCATGCTGCGTGTCGACGACACGGACAATTCGCTGCATGTGGACCCCCCCAACGACGACCGCCACGCCCAAGACTTGTCGACAATCTTGACAGAAGCCAAGGACACGAGCGCGCGCCTTGTGCATGTCTCGTTCACGAGTGTGCAGCAATACCTGTTCTACCTCCGCATGGCGGCCTCAGTGATCGACTCGGCAGCGTCGCGCGGGTTGATTCTCTTGTCCGCGTCGGTTTTGGACTACTACGTCCCGTCATCGATCCCATCGATCCTCCCGTCCATCCCATCCACCCCGTCCACCGCCGCTTCACCACCACCACCACCGTCCTCGAACACGACCAAGAAGGAATCATCCTCCTACCTCACGTTGAACCTCGTGCGCATTCCCAACCTGATTGCGAAAATCCGGCGGAATTACGCGCCCAAAGCATGCTTGGTCACGCTCAAGTCGGTGGCGGACAAGGGACGCCTGCAACGCGCCGCGTTTCGAGACATCGAGCGGTGGGGCGTCGACGTAGTCGTGGCCGACTCGCCCATGCTGCCCAACGAACTTGCGCTCATTTCGCCGCAGGAAGAGTTTGTCGCGAGTCCGCACCTGGACGAAGACTGCCGCCACGTCGAGCTCGAAGTCGTGTGTGCCGCCATGCTCGTCGAGATCCATCGCGCATGGTCCACGCGGCGGCAGATCCTCAAGCAAGGCAAGGCGCTGCTGCTCCTCACGGCCAAGTTCTCCATGATGAAGGAGAACGATACCCTCAACGAGGACGCCATGGGCAACAAGAACGTTCCGTTCAAGCGAGGAATCCGCATCTACACCGAGCGGCGCCACCGTCCCCCGAGTACGAGTCCCCCCCTGGTTCAAACCCCGTCCGAGTTGCCTCTGCCACCTACTAGTAATAGTACTAGTTCTAGTAGTAGTACTACTACTACTAGTAGTAGCCCCATGTACGAACTGGACGCGATCTTCCAAACAAAGTCGCATTGCGCGCGCGCACATGTATGGAAGCGCGTCGCCGACCACGACGACTCGATCAAGGAGGTGATGATTGCGTTTAGCCCTGCTGGCACCCCCGAAACCATCCGGAATCTCTGGGGGGACCTCTGGAACGGCTGGGACGAGGGCGAGATTGCCGACTTCAAAGAGCAGATCGGCCACGTCACGCTGTCGTCGGCGCTGTACGGGCTCGCGCACGGGGTCACGGCCACCGTCGGAGGTATGTATACATCGTGTACATGTATCATATATATATATATATTGTCTTTAAACTGCATTTTATGTGAATAAGCTTGTTGTTGTCGCGTTGCACCGGAATACTTAACTTCGATCACATCGTAAAGTTGTTGTTGGAGAGAGCGAGTAGTTTGATTGGCTACTTGATTCTTGTTCTGTGTTTTGATTGGTCGATAAATTGTCGGCTGATTTTGTTAGCGCTGCTGCTCATTTCAACCTTGCGATTATACTCTTCAGGCGGAGTGCATAACGCGTTAGCTGCTTCAAAAATATATCTAAAAATTTCTAAATATGAGATATATGATAATATTATTTATTGCCATTTAATTTTAATTTTAAATAGTTAATTAAATTATTTATTATTTTATTTAAAAAAATATAATATTATAAAATCTCTTCAGATAGATTGAGACACTCCAAATTCGAATCGAATTGACAATATTGTGCTTTCGAGTGAAATTTCGTGCTTTCTCGTTGGAATTTAAATCGATTTAATTGGCTACCTCAGATGAGCTCAAAATTATTAGGCAATCAAAACCTTCTCAATGAAATTCAACCAATAAGATCGATTGTGGATCGGTTTGGTCGTTGCGATTCGATTGCACCCCCTCCCCAAATTCGAATCGAATTGACAATAGAACTATTATTTCTCTGAGGGTGGGTGGATCTGGATCCCAACCTTTAATTTTTGGCTAAAAATGTGATAATTCGCAAAATATCGAATTCTCCAAATTTTGAATCCAGGCAGAAGATAATTGTTCATTTTTGCCGATTTCTTCGAAATTGCCAAACTATCCACGATGTTGACCGTTTTCTTGATATCCAGACGCACCCTCAGCATTGTACCATCATGATGCTGTTTGTGTCAGTCATCATGTATGGGCGTCGTGGCTGTCCCGATCTAGCCAGTGTTGTTATATCTCAATGGATGATAAATATTGCATCGGACGTTGAATGTTATGGAAAACGAGTAAAGAGTATGAGAGGGGGAATATGTCAGAACGTGGCTACCATGACGGATGATAATGGGAGTGATTTGGATCGAGATGACTTGTATTCTACTTGTTTATGGTGTACATAATGATACTATATAGAACCTATGGCTGTTGTGGCCACATGGACATGAATAATGACGCGAAGATATATATATATATATATATATATATTGTGCTTTCAAGCTAAATTTGGTATTTTTGGTAGATTCGACAAATAATGTCAAATCTACCTGAAGTCGTCGAGATGTCATTTTACTTGAAAACTAATTATACTCACTGGGACTCAAGTCCGATACAACATTGAACTGTTTGTGAAATGGAGAAGCTACCGGAGAGTTCAGCTGCAATTTGATTGGTCGAATGGTTTTTATTTCGAACATTTCATTGGCTACTTGGGTCCGTCGATCGATTACTGCGTCGATTTTACTTTGTCGATTCGATTGGCAGCCCCAGTCTAAAGCTATAGAACCTAAAATAAAATATTTTAAAGCAGCTCCTATAGATAATGGTGATTTTTTTAAAAGCAGTTAAAAAAAGACCATTTTGAAATCGAATTCTTACCAATATATACGTGCGTTGTGTAACGTTGTCGCAGGTGACTACTCCCACGCCCACGCGATGCTCGGGTACATTTACTCGAAACTCGGGTCGGCGTGGTCGGAAGGCGAGCAGACGCGGATTCGGCAGTCGTTTGAGAACATGGTGGCCGTGAATTTCAACCGCGGGCTCGATGCCGTCGACGACTTGAACGACATTGACGAGCTTCGACAAGCCAAAGCCATGGCGCAGTGTCTTGCGCCCCTCGTCCGGTCCAACACGATGACATCGCAGGTCTAACAACTACTTTAACTGGTCGTGTACTTTGCTTCATGGGCTGGCTGGCTGTAGGAAGCGGCGTGGGTGCGCCATGGCTGCCGCCGCCGCCCCAAGACCGACTCGTTCGACGTAGATGCGTCCGACGAGGACACGGCGTGGACCGCCGCTGCCACCGTCCGCGTGCACAAAGCGATCAAAGTATACTTTGACGACATGGTCGCCGACGGCATCCTCGACGCCGTCCTGCCGTACGTCCATGCTGGCTACACGATCGACGTCACGGGGTACTCCATGGGCGGCATGCTCGGTGCGTCCTCCCTTCCATGGATAGTGTTATGATTGTGTATGGGCTTTGCACTGTTGCAACTAAGGTAGTCGACGACGTGGGCTTGCGTGATATTTATTATTGTACTTTTCCGTCAAATTTGCCTATTTTGGGGGATTGATGAAATTGAGCAAAGGAGTATGATTGGCTACAAAGAATGAAGGTTGCAATATGATTGGCTAAAAAGGTGGATTGTTGCATCATTGCAGTCACAAAGCTATTCTTCAAGTTAGTATGATATAAAATTTCGAAGGTCCGGTGGTTGATTCAATCAACCGCCAGTGGAAATCCTGCGTAATATCACATTGAATTGGCAGTGGCAAGTTGGTATGCCCCAGTTTGTTTTCCATATCAATGGGAATATATCGTGCTATGATTTATATTGTCGTTTGACTTGGTCAGATTTTGCCCTGAATGTTGCAAAACTTTGCACTAATTTTGGATGTAAACTGTGTAATATCACATTGCACGGTTTGAAGTGGCATGCACACTCATTCGATAGTTGCACGAGTTGTTTGATTGGCTGTTGGATTCGTGATCTCGGTTTGGATTGGTCCATCGATTGTGTGTCGATTGAACCCTCCCAATACGAATCGACAACAATATATATATATATATATATATGGTTGGTGGCAGGTCAATTGTTCCTGCTCAAGCTGGGTGACCTGGCCTACCCCAAAGTGCCACTGGCGCACATGAAGAACATCCACGGCGTGTTCTTTGGCACCCCCCGCGTGGGGGACGCCGGGTTCGCGGCGCGGATGAAGGTCCTGTATGGCGGCGACCAGCTTTTGAACGTCATGCATCCGTTGGACACGGTGCACGCGTACCCGCCGACGTCCGAGGGGTACGCGGACGCGATGCTCAAGGTATTTTTGAAGGAGCAAAACGGCACCAACCGCCGGACGCCGTCGGCCTTCTCCGTGCTGCCGGTCACGCGCGCAATGGACAAATTGCTGGAGAAAGCAGCCAAACCTGCCCACACCAATGCGTACGTGAATACTATGTACGGAGGGGACCAGTGGGGGAAGTAGTGGTATTGCCCTCTTTCAGCCAAAATTTGGAACCAGAAATATTGCAATATTCAGGCCCATTTTAGGGCCGAATTCAACAAATCTGATCAAAATTGAAACATGTTTTGCTTGACGAGATTTAACCCAAATCCAAGACTTCCACGTGGGATTTACTCGTTGAAGAGGTCCTAAACGCCATATTACAAAATATTGGACCTTTTACCTCCATTTTGAAAATGACATTTTGGTTAATCCCATTTTGCGAGAAAATCGGAATATTATTTTTGAAAGGTTACCAGACGTACCCTAACTTTAGTCATACACGAATTCGATGTTGAAGCGCGAGAATTTGATTGGCTACTTGATTCGTGTTCTAAATGTTTTGATTGGTCGATCGATTCGATTGAGAACACCGTACTCCAATACTTTTGAATCGACAATATGTACATGTAGTATGATGGCTGAAAAGGGATGGGGGTATGTAGATGCACGTTTTGCGACCGCAACGACCACCAGTCGGAACAGCATCGGTGCCGGTACTGCACTCGACGCGGAGATCACCGCGGGGACGCGTGCCCGCATCGGAAGGACGGATGCGCGCTGTGTGGGAACAAGGGCCACTCCACGGGCGAACATCGCTGCAGCGTGTGCTCCCAGTTTGGCCACCGAGGACGGGAGTGCCACACCCAAGGCAACGTGGGCATGGTCGAGCTGCTCGCGTACTTTCGGTTCCACCATTACTTGTACTACAACACCAACCTCAAGCAGAACGTCGAATTCTCATCCGAGTGATCATAGCGTCCACACGTTTATTTACCATAAAAGTTCGTTGTGTTTGGGAGCAGTTGTTGACAGTTTACACACAAAAAACAACTGGTTGTCATGCCAAATGTGGGGATTAATTACTACTAGTATGGCCAAAAACATAACATCCTCGTTTTGGCATCACATGCCAACTTCCATGGTGTCCATGGCCTCCGCGCGTCCGTAAAAGTATTCGAGGCGTAGCGCGTATTGATTCAAACGGTTAGCATCGACCCCTATTCAAACTTTTAAGAAATGCAATAATGCTGCGAAAGTTACCATCGATAACCTGTTCAGCAATTCGCTCGAGATATTGAATTCGGAATTCATCTCGAGTCAAACCATTCGGTGGTGGGCCCATGAACGCGGCTAGTCGCTCACGCCGGAGTGTCTTGATTTGGGCTTTCATCGACGACCACAAATTCTCGATCGGATTCAACATTAATTTCGAGCAGTACTTTGCTTTATCCCGTTGGCGAACGCCGCGGTTTTGCAGTCGTCGTCGTTTCTGAACGTTGCGACGACTCGTTGCTTTGCGGAGAGAGGTATGCGTTCGTAGGGGCCTCGTGGCTACCGAGGGGGTTATCAAGTACTTCAATTGGCATCATTACCGGAGTTCGTGGGGGTGCAGCGACGCCCATGCTGTGCGTTCCTTAGCGATTTGAATAATGAGCATTCAATATGTTGGAGGAAAGCGCGCGCATTACGAACTTCAACTATACTTTATTCAAGTATAAATTTCGAATTCTTGCCTTCGCGCGTTTTCCTCCGAGCTTCAACCACATGATGTTTCTACCAAAACTGATTTGCACTCCATGGAACATACCACTCCGTCCCAAATCACTGACACGTTTGGACATTCTATTAGTTGTGAAATTAGAAAACAATCAATTTTATTAAAAATATTACTTTATCCAGTACAGTTGAGCCAATCACAAGGAAGGTGACATGGGTACATTTAAGTGACATTGACATCTTCCTGGGAATTAAATTGTACAGCCGAAGTCACCTCTTGTTTTCGATATATTTGAGACAATCTCCATACATTCTTCAAGTCCGGTGAACATTTGAAAATTTTGGGTTGAGCGGCTGATTTTATTTGAAGAATACACACGCAGTTTTTGGACGAATGGCAATATAATTATATGACCTTATAGCCAAGATCCTACTCTTTTGGTTGGTACAAATTTCACACAAATCCAATGATTGGTCATAATACCACAATGTGGCAAACATCAAACGTGTCAGTGATTTGGGACGGAGTGGTACTAATTATTTGAATTATTTCATTTTCATCGGGCACACGACGCAATTCATCGGGCAGATGGCCAATTGCTTGGGCACGGCATTATATCGGGCACACCGCCAAATATATCGGGCACACGACCTCGGTGTGCCAAATTAAACGGGCACATGGCTAATTATATCGGGCACGCCACCAAATATATCGGGTGCACGGCCATATCGGGCACGCCACCAAATATATCGGGTGCACGGCCAAATACATCGGGCATTCGTCCAACTTAACTGCAAAAAGGTGTAGTATATGTACTACTACTACGTAGTAAATATATTTTACTTTGAAATACTTCGTGAATTCACAGTAGCAGTTGAAACAAGGGTGAACCAACCATTAATTATATAGTAAGTTAACGTAGGAAATAGACACTTTAAAGTTGCCTTTGACGGTCATGGCATTACAACAGTTCGAGTACGTTGGGACCTCCCAAACATCCATCCCACCCCTGCGGACGAATCTATCGGCCGCCGCCCTTGGAGCATCTAAGGGGTCGAAATAAAATAACGCATAACGTTACTATTAATAGTAAAACCTACTACTACACGTAGTACGTAGTTAAAACATACTATTACCGTATATAACACTGTATTGCGACAGATTATCTATTGTGACTCCTGTAATAACTGATAATTTTCCTGTAATAACTGATATTCACTTGTGAATATGTTGAATATACTTCAAAATTGTAAAACGCAATGGATTAACAAAATTTTGAGTACGAGTGTCGGCCGGTTGTGAAATATCACCTGTCGCAATACTAGTACATATACACTACAGTGTATACGGTGCTATTAATAGCTACTAGTACGTAGTAAATGTCAAATCGAGTCAAGATACATCATGCATACAATTCTCGAAAATACATTAAAATGTATTTTCGAGAATTGTATGCATTATGTATTTGACTAATAATGACTGAAAATACATTAAAATGTATTTTCGAGGATTGCATGCATGATATATTTTGACTCGATTTGACAATTATGCATACTACTACGTAGTACATGTAGTACAGTACTACTGTACGCATTGTCAAATTATGTTTTACTACGTATTAATAGTACTAAAAGCTCTGTAATACCTGCTGCAGCATATGTATGTTGGTCGGTGTTACTATGTGACAATTATGTTTTACTACGTACTTCGAAGTAGTACGTAGTAAAACATATTAATAATTTGTCACATATTAATAATACTGAGTAACACCGACCACATACGTACAGTACTAACTAGTACACTGTATGATGTAGCTTGTACTTTGCCCCGTTGTTTATCTGTACACTGTATGATGTAGCTTGTACTTTGCCACGTTTTTTATCCGGTTATTGTTCGGATAAGCTTATGAGGCAAGCCACTTGAAGCAATGTGTCACAAGGGTTTTCTATGTTGTTGACGAAGCGCTGCCTTTTTATGGAACTGTCGTGTTGGGATCTTTTTTTTAGCGTCCTTTGATTGGGTGAATGGGCGTCCACATCGCACCTAGATTCGAGATGTTTTCGCACCTACATTCCAGATTTTGTTAGACATGGCGAATCTCAAGCTGCCGTGCTGTGGCCTCTTTGGTGGTCTGCTGGGCTATCTCTTCCAAAGCAACACCGTACCAGATAATGCGCCGTCATCTCCGCACTACCGCCCCCCTCTCCTTACCAATTGGCACCCATATACATCCCCTCTTGTCCAGCCCGAAGTCATCGACATGCGTGGAGGTGGCCACCTCGACATGTACGTCGGCGAAGTCTTGCATGCGTGGGGTAGCGGCGCGCCATCCGGTACAGTGTATGGCTTTGGAAGGGAAGGATCAGCTCCTTCGTTTCCGGGTCCGACCATCTTAACCGCGCGGAATGTCCCCATCTCCGTCACATGGACCAATCGCCTGGGTACGGCACCCCACTTGCTCCACCGCAACACCGAGCCGTCGTTCCTCGTGGAAGCGTCCGCGTGCTACCCAACATGCGGCGTGCCGACGTCTGTGCACATTCACGGGTTAGAGAATCCGCCAAAATATGACGGCATGCCCACCCAAACGTTTTACCACAACACAACGTTCAAGGCCAAGTACGCGAACCGCCAGTTTCCGTCCACAAAAGTCTACCATGATCACGCGTGGGGCCTGTCTCAGTTGAACATGTGGGCGGGCATGGTCGGGCTGTACGCCGTGCAAGACGCGGAATTGGAATCGAAGTTCCATCTGGACAAACTCCCCGACATGACGTTCATCCTCCAAGACAAGCTCATCAGTGCCGACGGCGCGTTGCTGTACACTGAGAAACTCACGTGTAGCCCCGTCGCGCCTACAAAGTGGGTCCCCCAAGCGTATGGCAGTGTCAACACGGTGAACGGCGTCGTGATGCCCTTCGCAACCATCGACGCCAGCCGCGTCCGCTTTCGATGGGCCAACGTCGCCAATGCACGGACCTACACTCTGACATTGCCGTTTGCCCATCTGTGCAAAGTGGTTGCCACCGACGGCGGGTTCGTCCATCGGCCGAGCCCCGTTCCAGTGACTGACTGGACGCTATTTCCGCTCGAACGCGTGGAAATGGTGTGCGATTTTACCTCTGTCCCTGCTGGCACCACGTTTGACATTGTCGACAAGCCGCTGCTTCAAGAAAGCGCGTACGTGTACGACGCGCGAGTGATGCAGGTGCAAATTACGTCATCGCAAGGTGCTCGAGAAAAGCAACGCCAAGTGAGCCGCCGTCCTCTTCCAGACACGCTCGTGGCGTTGAAATCGCTGCGGCAATTGCACGTCGACACGTTGGGAATGACCAGACAGGTCACACTGGGCGAGCTCATGGATGGCCATGGCTGCTCGACGCACTTGTATTTACAAGAGCACAGCGCGATAAAAGACGCGACCACAATCAAAAGCACTTTGCACTGCACACTCGGCAAAGTGGAAAAGTGGGAATTTATCAACCCGACCGTAGGCCCCCATCCGTTCCACTGGCACCTTGTGAACGCCCAGTGCGGCGAAACAGAAGCCACGATCAACACGAACGAGCTCAAGGACGTGGTGGTGATCCCGGCGCGCCCGGACGGCGGCGTCGCGCTCGTGTGCTACGTGGCGTGCACACCGGACGAGTTTCTGCTTGTCCACAGTACCCGGTCAGCCCACTCGTTCGGGTTCAACGTACTTGACGACCCGTACTTGGCTCACTGCCACATCATGGAGCATGGCGAGAATCAAATGATGGCGTGGTTCCAACTCACGGCCAAGGATGTGGACAACTGATTGAGCATAGTGGAATAAGTACAGTAGGAAATGAACCTCACTCGTCGAGCATGCGACACTACTACTTACTACTCAAGTACTATTAATAGTACTCGTAAGTAGTAGTACTATCGTTCGTACAGACGACTCACTAACAGCATGCTATCAGTAATCACAACACCCCGAAACCCAGTGATTGGTCGAGTTCAAATTTGAATTCCAATCTACATTTGCACACAAATATCAGACGCAAGGCGTCAGCGGTGGTACACCAACGCGCAGCGCAAGTTGCTTCCCGAGGGAGGGAAAGTATAGTTATTTGATTATTTCAGTAGAAGAAATGATATTTATACTTCTTTGTGCCATGCAAGGAGGAGAAATTATTTCTTCTTATGATGATACTGTACTTGCTTGACACATTACAGAAAAAATAATTCTTTCAGGCAGTCGGAATGAATTATCTATTGATAGAGAAGTATTTGAATATGTCAACAATAACCACTGAATATCAACATGAATAATATGAATACATTTATTTCTTGAGGCCCACCGCAAAACTTATTTCTGTCCTTGGCGTCCAGCGACCATAAAATATATGGTCGCTGGAAAACATAAATTATTCTCTGGCCAGGTCCATTACTATATTGCTCTAAATAAATAATAACTCTTGTCGAGAATATATACGGTAGATTTCCCTACCTCTGTGGGCGGCCAAGGCAAGAAGCCCCATCAGGGGGCGCAGCGTGGTTGAGTCAAACCGCGAATGTGTTTCAAAGCGTCGAGTTGGAGGTGGCGTATTGGCGACAACAAGGCGTGGTACGGTGCGCGCTTCTGCATTTCAACGACAACGCCATGGGTGTCGACGAAATAGTTCATGTGTTGAACGCGCATGGCGCGACCCAGCCCATCACGATCATGCATGTTGCGTTCAAGACAAAAACGTGGCGTGGTCGACGTTCATTATGACGTGGGGGCCGTGGAACGAGCACATTTTGTACTCCAAGTGCGCAGCCATCGCGACCACAACCACTTGGTCGACCCTGTCAACTACGAGTGCTGCTGGCCTTGCAACACCCCTTGGCACCCCGAGCCAGAAATGGGTTCGGAGATGCCGTCGTACCATATTACCCGAGCCAAGTTTGGTCACTACGGGGGACATGGATTTGTTCTTTGTGCCCACGCCCAAGTCGATGGCCCGTGCTGTCTTGAGCACAGTTGCGCAAGCCACGACCGCGCTACCCAAATCTAACGCCGACTTTCGCAACATGATGCAGGCCATTCCAATCTTCACCGTGAGCCCCGTGCCTATGACGTGGCACCCGGACAGCCTTTTGTTTATGGGTGACGACCCCACATGCCCGACTCGTGAACCCAAGCCATTTGTCCAGTCGTCCATTGCATACGACGTCTCGTGCAGCGTCCAACAGCGTCACACGATGCTGCTACACAAGTCCACTGTTTGCCCTTCTCGATCTTCGCTCCACCTCTACGTCCGCAGAGGTCGACCCCATCTGTTCACAGTGCCCAACGTTGGCAACTTCGTGTGACACTCCCGCGCCACGACTGAAGCGCTGCAACTGTTTCAGCAACTATCGCCCAAGAGCTGGAACCAAGAACCTCGAACGGCAGTTTCGACAGGCGCAACGCAACGTTATGGCCTTGAACGTCATGACGATGCATTACCCCATTCCCAACTCCTCTTGAGCCCTCCAGTTGGTTTGGGAGAGAATATCCGTGGGCGTTCTTTGGGTGGGTAGTACCACCCAAAGAACGCCCGAAGCGGGAAGTGATTTCCGTCGAAGGCGATTATTCGATACCTTATCATACGACTCATGTCCGACAAGTACCGACCCATCGTTAACCAAGCGCAGGCGTTGGAAGCCCCCCGAAGCTCGTCGCAGTATTTGTGGGTCGTGTCGGTGGTCATGAGGTCGATTCTGTGCTGTGCATGGTGGGCACCATCATGGCCATCTACACCGTAATCCCTTAGAGGCCGCATCGTCGGTCGCAACTTGTTTCAGTTCAATCGCATTGTGGGCGTCGTGTGGCTCGGTCAGCTGTGCACGGCATGGCCGCCATCAACGTCCTCAGCACCACCTCCCCGCTGACACTTGTGACCCGCCACAAAATGGCTTCGTTTGAACTTCAACCCTTGGTGCTGCTGTTTCATGAACGTCGCGGGGTCTCCAATCCCGGCTTGGAGACTCCAAGGGCGGTAGGCATGCACGACCCTCTCACTCGCACCGCCCAGCGCTCGTTCATTGAAGGGTCGTCATGATGCCTTCCCTACAAGTGTGGATGTAAGGACTGGCGCGTTCGAGTCGCTCTTCTCCGTCCAATGGCCAAGCCCGCCATTCAAAGATGCCTGCCTCACGTCGAAGCGGAAGTTGATCGTGGTCACACGTCAACACGTAGGCGAGGTACTACACGATGCCTTACGACACCTGCCCAACCGATCCATCGCGCCGATTGTGGTGCTCTTGGAGGTGACCATGTTCAACCAACCGCTCCCAGGTACTACTGCTCGTCTCACTCACCATCGAAAGAACTCATCGTCCATTCCAGAGATCGTTTTTGGACTGGCCTTCATGGCCGCGCTCGACAGTTGCTTCCGCGGACTCGTCGCGGCCGACAAAAAGACGTGCACAATGTCGCTTGCCGGCATCGTCGTCGTGTCTGGCTTGGCGTCCGTCGCTGTCTCCGCGTACAACGGCGACGCGATGAAAAAAGCAATAGAGAGTTATCGCTCCGCTTAGTAGTTCACTTCATTCACAGAGTGAAACGGGATTTAAAGAACTTAGGGGAATTACTCTCGGAGATGAGAAGTTGACGAATAGTCAGCTTAAAGCGGTTAGAAAGGTGCTTAAGTACTTACTCGATTACTAGTAGAGTAGAACCAAGAAATACAGAAATTGGAAGTAAACCTCTATACCCAATGTCTTTTTGAGAAAGACAGAAATACATAATCTAGAGAAATACAAAAAACATATATTTCAATAGTTTGATTTTTGTGAAATACAAAAATACAAAACAATATATTTCAATAGTTTGATTTTTAAGATACTGTACAGTGTACAACATACTAGAAATTTGGAGGTTTGATTTTTCCCAGCAACACAAAGACAAAAACCCAAGCTACTGTACTTAGTATGAGAAAATCTGAAAAAGACAGAATACTGTTTTAAACATTCATGATACAATAGACGTATTTACAGGCTGTTAACTGCACAAGAAACTTCCGTGAGAATAAATAATTTACTCCTCATTTTGAAGTAGTATAATATATGTAATACATATTAATAAAATATATGATCGGAACTTTATGCACGAATGTGCATAATGAACTTGATATTGTTTATGTTGGCTCTCTCTACCTTGAGGCGAGTCATGTTGACAGGCTCCTGCTTCTCGTATGCCTTGATGATCTCATCCACAATGGACGACATGGTTTTGACGTAGACTGCGGAGTTTACACCTATCGCCACACAGCCAGCCGACTATTGCGCGGGCTCCGACCACTTGTAACTATGCGAACTTTATCCGGTTAACAGCTATTCCCAGGTAAACTTTATCCGGATGATCTAATCCGGCCAGTTATAATTCGGCTTCCCCAGTTAACTAACTGTAGCTGAAGTACAGTATCCCCCGTCGGTGCAGTCGCTATGTCTCATCCTGCAAAGAAGCCTCGTAAGCATCAGATAATGGTGGCCGAAGCAAACAAGCAACTAAAAATTCGCTACGATGCGTACCTCGACCGACTACTGCTGAACGCGACTTGCCCAGAGGATGACGAGGACGATGACGTGAGTTCCCCCGTTGTGGTTTGTGAGTCGATTTCGAAAGATGCTTTCCGAAAGTGGGAAGAAAAACACGGAGGCGACCTAGGACGTTGGGAGTACGTTCCGTTGGATGCCAATTGTGGTCGCATTGAAATTGACAGTTTGACGACTGCTGTACACGCAGAAGCAGGAGGGTGTCTGTACTGGACGATTCTGCGTCAATTGCTAGATATCGGAGGTGTTGATATGGGCGACACATTGAAAGATCGGCCATCCCAAACACATGACGTGGGGGATAGGCTTCAACGCGCAGATCGAACGATGAGCGGCAGGCAGTCGGCCAACACGTTTCCGAATGTCATCATTGAAATTTGCTACTTGAATGGCTCGTGGAATACACTCGTGGCAAAATTGCATCGTTGGATCAGCCCAGAAACGACTGTTCAAGTTGCCATTGGAGTCCAAGCGTGCAAGGTGCGCCGCCGTATCATTGTGATTATTCGAGGAGATCCTCTGATTGAGCAAGTAGTCGACTTTGATGTCAAGTCACATGCGGTTATTCCACCAGCAACCTTTCCCTCGTTTCCCCTGCATTTGATTTATCACAACGGCCCACTCCCAGCAGAATTGGCTGGACACGCCAATGACGAAATCGTGCTCGATTTGCTTACACTGCGGGTGCGAATTGCCGAAGCGCTGGCCGAAATGCTGGCTGCTGCTGCAGCATTACCTGCCGCCCAGTAACTAAAAGTCTTTTTATCGTTTCTTGTGTTCTAAATGAGTCGCTCTTTTCATGTAACGTTGGCTATACAATCGAATGAAATTGGGGTGTTCTCAAAGTACTCTTTCCCTTGTAACCGCAGTTAATTAATAGAAATGGCCTATTAATAAAACGTCATATTATATTAGTAACACGTTAGTACATTGTTTCTACTTCTATATTACTATTAGTACTACTTCGAAGTATAATAGTATTCTGGAGTATGTATGAATGCTACCTAATATTTGGCACGTAACTGGTTGATACTTCGAACTACAACAATATTAGAGTGAGCAAAATAATACGAAACCGAATTGCGACTGCTGAGACCTGTCGTGGATGGAGGGGCCGCAATCGTTGTGGGAGTCGGCGCTGCTGCGCTACTCGCCCAAGGAAATTCTGTTCGTGTCATTCGCTGGCATATTCGTGCTCACGCTTGTGTTTGCGTACGTTGTGATCGATCCAAAACTACCGAGCGGCACCCGCCCGTACCAAAACTTGTCTATCCAATACGCACAACCACGGTACAAACGTTACGCTGTTCATCCACTTGTGTGTGTGAGTGTGTGGAGATGTGTACAGTACGTGGACAATGGTCAGATTGTTGACAATGCTATGTTGTACTAGCCACGAAAACACCGCCTTCTGCAGCACTGACGACGACGAGCTCGTCAAGTGGTGCTCGTTGCGTGATATCGACAGGGAAATCCACTTGTCTCAAAGCAATAGCGACCACCAAACGTCACTTCGTCGGCGTACGCCCATGTGGCCAACATGCATATCATGGCATGCTCGATCAAATGTGACGCTATGGCTACTGTAGGCACTAACCACCTCCTGAACCCGCCTGAAGCCTCGTCCCCGGTGTCCATCGAGTCTACCGCTGATATTATACATGAGGCCATCAAGTATCGCTCCGCAGACTGCTCGATGCACCTGAAACAAATCGCAGGTCTGAAACCGCCTAGCCAAGCAACTCAATTGGTGCAATTGAGAAAAGGATGTAAGTTTGACAGAAGGTTGATGGCACTGCATTGGTAGATCGGTTGGACACGGGCGATGTGGAAGGCATGAAGGCGCCCCTACAGGCCATGCAGGACACTTTGGCCTACTTCAAAGCTCCTTCCACGCGGGACATCAACCAAGTAAGCGTGTTTTGCAAAGCGCTGGTGAAACACGATGGTCTGGACTTGCTTCAGAAGTTAGTGCAAACCTGTGCGGACGCTGTACGTTCCTATATGCTACGCCCTCGTAATTCCTTGATGCTTTTCGAACCATATTTCATTGTACTGTATATTGTATTATGGCCACGAGTGGAGTTTAACGCTTGGGGGACTATAGGACATTCAATCGATTGCCCAGGCCATCATTGAAGACGCAGTTCCGTCCATTTGGAGTTAACCGAGCCGACTGTCGCAGGATAACTCAATGTTCATATATTCGTACACCTACTACAGTACCACGTCGTAGTACTACTGAAGTAATACAGTACTAAGCTTACTATGTGATACTAATCCACACGGGTCCTTCTAACTCACAATTGCATGTTGTTTCGAGTGCAAATGCTACTGTCAACCATACAGTATATATAGCAAGTGGGTTCCCTGGTGTGATTAACGTCGATCACTATGCTACAATGTACTAGCGTAGCTACTACATACTAGTCGTCTTCGAACGTGCCAAATGTACTAGGGACGAACGACACACCTCCTGCGTGCAATGCTTCCAATATCCTACATCACGACAATCATTTCCGTTAAAGCAACTAGTCTTTTAGTTGAAAATCAGCCTTACGTGATAAACTGAGACCCCGTCAGTTTGACCGCACGCGTGTCCAACAGCCCCAGCGACGTCAGCGTTGAGAGCACAATCTCCTTGGTGGCCGCCGCCGTATCTTCTTTGCTAGCTACGCGCAGAAACGGCGCGGCAAACTTGGACGTGAGCTGAGACCGCAGCGTTTTGTTCTTGCGCTGAAACGCAATGCGCAAGAATGTGTCGAGCCTCTGCGACATGGTGCAGATGATGATATGAGGTGTACTGTAAAAGGGACTTCAGATTGGAGCTATAGGCACTTTGCATGTACCGCTAGGTCGTCCACCGGTGGCTGGTCCGAGTGCAATGTGATCTTGATCACTCGCGAGTCCACTAACCACGAGTAGTTAGTTAGTCCAATGATCATGGAATGTTCATAGCTATATATATATACGTTGACATAAATAGCAAAACCTTAAAGTACCTTTGGGTGGCGGCACAAAGTTCTTGCGTGGCACTTTCGCCACGGACGTCACATCTGCTTGAAACGATGTGTTGACTGACAATCGACTGTAGTTCTTGGTCCCCGTTCTGTGGCATCCATGATATAAATGGGCAGATTCGTTTATTTTGATCTGAAATAGATGACAAGAGAACGTACGTAGCCATCAGACGCAGCGCAAACTCTTCTTGCACCATGAGCACCGCGCCGCGGAAGCGTGGATGCGGCGACTTGCCGAGCAGCTGGCCCACCACGGGCGACGAAATGTTGTACGGGATGTTGGCCACACACAAGTCGAACTTGGGCAAGGACGCCATGGACATCTTGGCAAAGTCTCCGTGCACAATCTTGAGGCGGGCGGCGGCGATCTCTGCCGCGAAACGCTCCTCGAGCTGCGCGATCATGCGGTGGTCATACTCAACCTGAGGGGTACAGTGAGGTGAGGGAAGTCAACAAATGGACGATCGAATCACGCACACAAGTGACTCGCTTCGCCACGCCGAGCAACAGCAATGTTAGGTTGCCCGTCCCGGGGCCGACTTCGAGCACGTGGTCTGACTTGTGAATTTCGGCCGCGTCGACGATGGATTGCAACACCGACGTGTTCACTAATAGATGCTGACCAAGCGACCGCTTCAGGGATGGCGTGTTCTCTACCCGTACACTGGACACGGTGGCAAACGGAGATGCCTTGGCAGGGATAGCCATGCTTGACCGACGGAAGCATGATCGAAGCAGCATCTTCCCGAAACGATTAAGTTCAAGAAGCACCAATGAGGTCGATTACCTTATATAAGAGTACTTGAAGTAAATACAATTGCTCATTTATTCTGGGGATAAATGATTATTTATACGATGGGTGTGCATATTCTAATTTTTGCTATCCGGGTCATATCATCCGGATAAAATAGTCGGCAGTTTGCTGTGGCCGCCGCGACTGTGTCCGACACCTTTGAAGTCAATATGATCAACATCATGAAGCGATTTGTAGAGTCCTCGGTGAGCCAGGCATTGCATGAGGGCACACAGGATGCCGATAGTGCTGCAAGTGCCGCTACCGAGCCTGGGACGACGTCGGCGCCGTTTTCGGCGTTGGATCCACCACGCTCGAATGATCGATCGACGCCGCAAGGTGCACCGCCTTCTCGAGAACGGACTGCGTCGTCGTCGTCAGACCCTACGATGCGCCGCACTGTGCCAAAAGCGGACCTCGTCATGGCCATCGAGCGGTTTCAATACGCGATGTTGCTGGCCGAGCGAAAGACCGCCGTGACACAACTACAGAAGCTGTGGGTCGAAGCCGACATCCCCGACGACGCGCACCGGCTGATCATTCCCGTCATTTTGAACGCGCTAGTCACGGATCCGAGGGACACGGAGCTCATGGAAGCCATGCTAGAGCTCATGCAGTCGATCGTCTCGACCAACCCGTCGAATGCCTCCATTCTGCTGCAAGGTGACATCGTCCTAATTGGCTCATGTCACTCACAAGAACATGTAGAGCCACATGCGCTGGACACGATTCTTGGGCTCATGCAAGATCCGTCGCCGTGGATTCGAGGACCGACGGTGCAGCTCATCAAAAAGGTGCAGGATGGCGACTCAGCCAGTTTTGCCACGCACATCTTGGCGTGTCAGGAAGGGTATAAACATCATCTTTATATATATATTTAAAATATATTGATGTATCTCATCGAAATCTATCACAAACATCTATTCACGCATGAAATTGCAGACTGCGATTGCTCTTGGAAGTGGTCGAAGACAAGCGAGAGCACATTCGCGATACCGCGGTCCAGGTAAAACGACTTTAACTATTTATCCCACCATCGCTCGTTTATTTATTTCATATTCACTACAATTATATACTATACGTTGTACTATGCAATATATAATAAATAATGGTTCATTTATTAGATCCTGCTCAGCATGACGTTAAACCAGTCGCCTCTGACACTTCGCCACGTCCAGCAATTCCTCGCGTTCGAAGATGGCTTTACGCGTTTGTTTCAAATCGTCGACTTGGAGCTCGAGGGGTACAAAATCGCTCATATATATATATATATATGTATATATTATATTTATAATCTTGGCGCCCTGCATTTGTATATGTATATATTATATATTCGATATCATGGCTACCTGCACATATATGTATACTCAATATCGCGGTATTTTTCTTATGTATATATCATCGTGGCTATCTAACACAAATATACATATATATACTAATAATCCTATCTATCTGACTATATATATATTCATAACCATGGCTACCATGCATCCAACATATATATTTAAAGACATATATACCATTTGAATCCGTTGAATTGGATATTTCTAAGGCCAGTCTTATATTATGGGGTTTATAGCCACGGCCTGGACAGTGCGGTGCTCGTGGACTGTTTGCATGTAATCGTCAATATGGTGCGCAATAACACCATGTCGCAGTCGCTGTTGAGGGAGACTCCGTTCGTGCCCGTGTTGTTTCCGCTGCTTCTGGACGCCGGCCTCCCTTCCCCCGACCAGCCAAATCACCACCCGGCGCCACTTGAAGACGACGACGAAGGCAATCAACCGTCCAGCACAGGGCTGCGTACTACGTTGGACATCCTCTTGTGCCTCGTTGGACCCGTCTACCCCAACGTACGTACTGTCCCCCCTCTTTATACTCCATATATATCGGAATATACTTGCCCAATATTGGGTCAAGGTTCATGTGATTGTTTGTGTATATCTAACAGTATACCTCTTTTGGCTGTGGATGGCGATACACTGTGTGTACCTACCTATCTACCTACCTACTTCCTCTGTTCCAGGTTACTGCCGACATTTCAAAATTCGCATGTTCCAAGTTACTGG